CTCTTATGCACTGACAGCCTCGCCTGCTGGACACTGACAGCATGCACACACCCAGGACGCAGGAGGCAGGGACAGGATGACTACGTGAGGGCCACCACCGTATTCCCACTGACTGCTGGGCAAGGAGTGAGCTCCAAGCACAGTGATGCCGGGCCGATTCTGAGTAATAGTGATGGTCTTGGTTCCATGCTCACCTACCACACTCCAACACACACACATACACACCTTCCTGATGGTCTGGTTTCATCTCTTCTTGTTGGACTTCCTTGGGATAGTGCCAAGGCCCATGACCCTTCAGAGATGCCAGCGGAAGTGCACAAACTGGAAAGAGTGAAACAGCTTGTTGGTCTTGATCCGGTCTCACTCACCCCTCCACATTAAGGAGAGTGTCAACTTTCTCAGGGTTGGGAACCAGAACAGGAGGGCCCCATGGTACAGGGATCTGTTGGGAATAAACCTCAACCAAAAACTATCTGCACCCAATTCAATTTAATCCACACTATATTCCTGGGGGGTGGGGTGGTATTATTTTAATTCATGGAGGAGAAAATAAAGTGGGGAAGGCTGAGAACTTGGCAGGGTCCCTAGCCAGCTCGTTGTGAATGGAGGAATTGGTATTGAAAACAAGCGTACTGTTCCCATGCCGCTGTCTTTTACCTCTTTTCTGCATTCTCAGCTCAGTGGTGTTCTCCACCTGCAGGCACACCAGTGCAGTGCTAATACTCACTTCCTCCCTTGATGACCCAGGAAGAAAAGGTTTTAATTACTCCCAGTCGGGGTGTGTAAAGACGTTTGTTAATATCAAGTTAGTTACCTGCAAAAGCAGACATTGTAGAAGGAGGAAGTGAAAAGAAAAACCAACTGTGGGTCCTTCGTTCATACACTTGGCCAATCCCCGTGCTCTCTTCTGCTCTTGTTTGCTGTTAGTTCCTGCCTTTATCCAGCTCCATCACTACCTTTAAGTTAACATTCTGCTCTGCGTATTTCAACTTTGTTCACCAGCTTTCCAGATCAGAATAATATGAAATAAAATTAGGCAGCCCATAACATTCAGGATGTGTGTACATACATATGAGAATACATGTTTTATTGCATTGCAATATTTACTGTGTTCTCCTTGAAGCCATCAGTTTTTAATGAAAAGATCAAACCCTTCACCTGAATTTTCCCTGGAAGCTGATTCTAACAGTCTTTTGTTGCTCACAGAGTTGTTACATCTTATTTAGAAGCCTGAGACCCTATGGGACATCTATCGAACTTCAGGTCCCTTTCAAGTTGATAGTAAAACAGTTTTGTATCTTCCTATCTTCAGAACAGTTTCCAAAGATTCTGACTCTGGAGCCTTTAGGACAAAGTAAATGTCAAAGTACAATTTTTTAAAAGTTCAAACATGACTCTCATACAGACACTGAATGTAAAGAACTCATTTGTGGGTCAAGGGATGGTTTGTGTCATTCGTGGGGGAGTGAACAGGAAGACAAAGTTAGATCCAATCAGGACACCGGAGAGTGGGATGTGTGTTTTTAAAATATGTTTTCATTGATTTTTTTACAGAGAGAGAGGAAGGGAGACAGAAACATTGATGTGAGAGACACATCCATCAGCTGCCTCCTGCACGCCCCCTACTGGGGCTCCAGCCTGAAACCCAGGCCTGTGCCCTGACTGGGAATCAAACCCAGACCTCTCAGTCCATGGGAGGGTGTTCAATCCACAGAGCCACACCAGGTGGGTTGGAATGTGTATTTAATTAGGGAAAGAAAGACTGCTGGAAGCCTGAAAAATCAGATACAAAATTGGTTCATATCCTATTAGGCAATACGATGATAACTTTTAGGGTTTATCTTTTCTACGGGGAAGAATTCATTTGCATCTCTACTGGGCAAAACCCTTATCAAAGTATCATCAGTCTTCTACATGTGAAAGTCTAATTTTTACATATTCTGGACCTAATCCAAAGTACATACGAAGTGTAAGTCACCTCGGCGACAGCAGCTCTGTCCAGGATGATAGCTATTAGCCACCTTTGGCCACTGAGCATTTGTAATGTGTCTGGTCTGGACAGAAACGTTCACGACTGTAAAATACATACCACACTTTGAAGGGAGGGAGAGAGAAAGAGAGAAACATCTTGACTGGGTGCCTCCTGCATGAGCCAGACTAGGGCCGGGGACTGAACTGCAGCCCAGGTACGTGCCCTTGACTGGAAGCAAACCCCTGACTCTTTGGTCCTCGGGCTGACGCTCTAACTGTTGAGCCAAACAGGCCAGGACTAAACGACCTTATTTTTAAAAGATACTGGTTATATGTTAAGCTGAGAATAGTTTGGATGTACATATAAAGTTCAGTAAAATATATTATTAAAATTAATTTCACCTGTTTCTTTTTTTTTTTTTTTTACTGTGACACTAGAATATTTAAAATGACCTAGTCTATTTTATTGCCTAGTGCTGCCTTTGAACATCAGATGACCCAAAAGGGAACTTAGACAATTTTCTAATATAACCTGAAAGGACACAAAGAAATACTTTTGTCTTGTTTTAAAGTTTTGATTAACTTCTCCCGCACAAGTTACAGGGATCTGGGGAAGGGTTACTTGTTTCTCGGCCTTCTGGCCTCCACCACGCGGCCAGGAGATTGGGAGCAAGAGTCTGGGTGGCTAGTTTCCTGATAATGAGATCTGGACTTCAGATTTGCATGTAGAGGGGCTTCAAGCTGAGTGACCATGTGAAGAACGGAGTCACACATACATGCTGCTGATTTATACATCAGGACACCAATCTATAGTAAAGGGCGTTCCAGTAACCTTCTAATCAAGGCTCCACACAGCTATTTTCTTGGAGGTTATGCATCCTTAGGTGAGTTTCAGATGGGAATGGGCTTGTTGCCCATAGAATCAGAGCAAAACAGCATATTCTTATTTTATTTTTTTTACCAAAATATATTAGGATGATGAAGGTGCTTTAGCAGTTTGTACAGTCTCAATAATTTGTCACAATTCTTAGACCCAAAGTCACACTGAGGGAGGATGGCAGGTCTAAAGTGTCCTTTCCGGCTGCTAATTCATCCATTACTAATCATATTAGGCTGTTAATTCCCAGGGTACGTGATCAGGAGTAGACACAGTTTTCAGATGTTGAAGAATGTTATTCAATGAAACCTTGGGATCATCCTCAGTCTAAAACAAGATGCCTTGTTTTTCATTTATGACTCAATTTATCTGTGTAACCGCTTTTGTAACCCAACAAAGTGGGTTCACTGCTTGGCGTGTCTGAGCCAAAGGCACTAAGTTTTGTTGAAAGAAAAGTTTTTTATTTTTAATTGTGACAAGTAAAGGAGGCAGAGGAATAATTTTCAAAGCTGTCTCCCGGAAGAAAGGTGTGGCTATGGTTTGTATACACTATTTGGGTAATTACAGGTAGGTCGACTTCTTTGCAGTTGGCTAAACTTGGTCAAGTTCATCAGGGTTCATTTGTGTCTGCAAAATACTGTACTACATTTTAACATTTAGAAAGAATTGCATTTAGTAAGAACCACCCAGACCTTGAGACCTTTACACTGTCTTACACTTTTGACTACCGCAATCTAAGTCTGACACCTTTAATACCCATTTTCATGTAGACATATGTTTAACCAGGAATTTCTGGTGAGTTGTAATACTTCTTTTGCCCCTAAATATAAAATGTGTTAAATATAAAAGAAGAACATTTTCTTTCAAGAATACATTGCAATTGCTTTGAACCAAAGGGCGAAACATTAAGTAACAACACCTAAAGTGGAAAGCAAATTTTGCAATTGAACACAGAAGTCTAACTTTAGGAAGGATGAGAAGAAGTGAACTCATCAACAAAACATGGTATAATCATTTACATTTTCTAGTACTTTTCCTCTTTTTCTGTTTTAAATTTTGCCATCCATTTTTTTTTTCTGTTTCAAATCTATGGTTTACTTTTTAAGTCAAAGTGTCTCTTATTGAAGACAGTAGTTTTATTTACATCTATATGTTTGAGTGCCCACTTAGAGGGTGGCCTTCTATGTCATGAACGTGTTAGATAGCGTTACCAGAAGAAACCCCAAATTTTCATGTGCTGAAATCCATCTCTTTAATGCAGCATACAAAATAAATAAATAAATAAATGCTTTTTTTTTTTTTAAACTCATCACCTCAATGTTTCTTGCTGCTGAGTCTTTTGGGGGTACTTGCAGGCATAGTGGGTCATCCTTCTTTTATTATCCCTATTCTTGAGGGACAGACTCCCTGCCTTGAACAACGCAGAGGGGAACCTGAGAGCTTTTTAAAAACAGCCCAATTTTTCTCCTTTGGAAAGTGAAAAGTGTGCCCCGCCCCCACTTATGAAAAGGGATTTGATAGAGTTTCAATGTCTTCAAATCAAAGATTGAAGTCTCTAACTCGCCACCACCTAGGACCTCTCTGGAACTTATGAGCCCCCTCGTATCCCTCCCTAACTGCTTTGGGCTAGTCCAGAACCTTGTCCCAGTCCCAGTTCCTGTGGGTCTGTAGGCAGAATTCACAGAGGACCTGTGTTATTTCTTTTGCGAAGAAACAGAATTAATGTGAAAATGTAAGTGAAAACTACTCCGTTTTTGTCCCCAAAAGAAGGTAAACATGTGCCCAACCACCCCTGAGAAAAAGAACTTTCGAGAGCAAAGGAGCGAACAGGTAATTTAGAAGAAAAACAGAAAGTGGTGTCCGACTGCCCTGGACTTCCCTCGGAGTTGGGGGACTTGGGGACGCCTGGACGCCGTGCCTTTGCAGGTACAGAAAAAATAATTGCAGATTAAGAAGCCTGAGGCTTCTCGGATTCTTTCCCGACCAACCCCGGGTGATTTGGTGCGGGGCATTTTAATATTTTCCCTCTTTTGTGAAGTGTAACAAACACAACTTGGGCGCACACCGGCGGCTCGGAGCCTGCCAGCCAGGAGGGCGGCGGGAGCACCAATCAGCGCGCGCCTGCGCTCTATATATACGGCGGCGGCCGGCGCCGCTCCATCGGCGCTTCGCCACTTTTCCCAAGTTCTAGGTCGTCACCATGTCGGAGACCGCTCCTGCCGCCCCTGCCGCCGCGCCCCCCGCGGAGAAGACCCCGGTGAAGAAGAAGGCTGCGAAGAAGCCTGCGGGGGTTCGCCGCAAGGCGTCCGGGCCGCCGGTGTCCGAGCTCATCACCAAGGCCGTGGCCGCCTCCAAGGAGCGCAGCGGCGTGTCCCTGGCCGCGCTCAAGAAGGCGCTGGCGGCCGCGGGCTACGACGTGGACAAGAACAACAGCCGCATCAAGCTGGGTCTCAAGAGCCTGGTGAGCAAGGGCACCCTGGTGCAGACCAAGGGCACCGGCGCCTCGGGCTCCTTCAAGCTCAACAAGAAGGCGGCTTCCGGGGAGGCCAAGCCCAAAGCCAAGAAGGCGGGCGCGGCCAAGCCTAAGAAGGCTGCTGGGGCGGCCAAGAAGCCCAAGAAGGCCGTGGGGTCGGCTACCTCCAAGAGTGCCAAGAAGACCCCGAAGAAGGCGAAGAAGCCGGCGGCGGCTGTTGTGGCCAAGAAAGTGGCCAAGAGTCCAAAGAAAGCCAAGGCTACCAAGCCGAAGAAGGTCGGCAAGAGTTCAGCCAAAGCTGTGAAGCCTAAGGTCGCCAAGCCCAAGGTTTCCAAGGCCAAGAAGGCTGCCTCCAAAAAGAAGTAGGTTGTTGAACAGCTACTTCTAAAACCCAAAAAGGCTCTTTTCAGAGCCACCACTGATATCGAAGAAGAGTTGAGCACTCCTGCTTTATTTGCTTTGTTTCTTCCCCCCTTTCCCCTCCTATTTTAATGCAGAGTCGTTGGAGAGATGGCTGCAGGCACCTCCCGAGAGGACTTTGGGAGGGGGGCTGCCGTGAGGTGACCGTCCCGGCCATCTCCGCAGCTTGTCAGCTGTGTGAAAGCGTCTTTGGCAGTCCCACCCATGCTTGTGGACAGGCAAACGATTAAAATGCCAGTTTCCTAGTCTTAAAGGATGTCATGATTGGGCCAGAAAGTCATTCGTAAGTCCCGCCTGCTCGCGGGTTGGCGCAAACCTCCAACCCATGGTCTTCATCCTGGATTTAATTGGATACTGGCAGGTTCTGCCTCATGTTTTTTTGTTAGGTCGAGTTTGCCCTTTTTGAGGTAATGTATGTGGCGTGTTTCGGAAGTACGCTGGCTCCTGGGGGCGTTGGTGGCGTTCCGCACTGAGAGGAGGGGACGCGAACGCTTTCTCTCGCTTTGTAACTCCCGTTTTCCTGGCGACAATAAAGTTCATTCGAGGAGCCGCTGCTCCCAGGGCTGGGCAGCACCAGGTTCTTTCTGTTCCTAGCACTTTGGACGTCAGTGTACGGACCCGAGCCCGTAAAAAACGACTAGTCGCCATTGTGTTCTGGGAGGCGGTTCCCCAGCCTCAGTTTAGACAGACGTCTGAAAGTGGAAGGTGCTTTAAGAGCACTGCGTGTGTGTGTGTGCGCGCGCGCGCATTCCAAATGTTTTCACGTGAAGAAGCAAAAACTATGGTCATCTGTTGGATATGTGTGTCTGAGTGGGGGTGGTGTCATTAAGGCTTTCGTTTTCATTGACAGTGTCATCTGTGGCGTTTCTCCTGGATCAAGTCCAGTGGGCAGTTTAAATTTTGAACATAGATTTTTCTCGAGGCAAGTTCCAGGGACAGGCTTCAGGTTTTCCCAAGGATAGGGCTGGTGTGAGTTAATTCCCCGCTGTAGTGGTGACCGCTGGGTTCATCTGCCGCGCCCGCCCTACTGGACAGAGCGCCTTAATCTTTGTTTTCTTTGTAACTATAAACAAAAAGACTTTCCCTACTTTGAGGGTGTAACACACACGCGAAGAAAAACAGTTCTCCCATGGTTTCTTCCAGTAACTTTGAGTTGTTAATTTTACATTTAAAGTAACAGCCCTCCATATTTAGTGTGAAGTTATGGATATACACATATGGATAATTTTTACATATGAATGTATGAATTTTTAAAGTATAATTTACATGATGGATATAAAGCTGTGGATATTTCCCCCAAGATGATTTACTAACTCTTGCATTTCTGCCTCTCCTCTCCCCACCCCACCCTGATCTGAGATGCAACCTTTATGGTAGGCTCAATTCCATGGATAGGTGGACTAATTTTTGGTTTTCTATTTTGTTCCTTTGATTTTTCCAGCCATTCCTAAAGTGAGATCACACTATTGCAAGTATTGTTCACAGCTTTCTTCAGTGATGAAAATTTATGACTTATGCAAATGCTAATTGCAAATACTAATTGAATGTTAAATAAACTGAGATATTATAGTTGACTTTAATAGCTGATAGAGCTAATTTCCTCTCAGTACTCCTTTCCAGAATTCTGTTGTTTATTTGATTATCTATTTTGCTTTTCCATATGAACTTTGGGATGCTCCCTTCCCTTTCAGAAACCATCAACACTCTGTTGGTAGTCTTATTGGGATTATTTTTATGAATTAAACTGAGGACAGTGTTTTCATATTCAAAAACATGTTGTTTTTCCATTTGTTCACACATTTCTTCAAATATATCTATCTTCCCATTTTTCACTACCTTTATTCCTATTTATTTTTATTACTGCTGACAATGACAATGTAATATTCTAGATCCCTTGAAGGCCAGTATTCCATTAAAGTGCAACTAGAAGATCCCCAGTGACTGAAGACATCTATGCATGAACAAATTAAGGTCTGTGACAGTGCTGGCCATTTAATAGCCACATAAATAAGGAGCAAAGAAACAGGTGAAATCATTTTTAAAATATAATTTATTTAACCCAATATGTCCAAAATACCATCAGATCACCCTGTAAAGTTATTTTCCATAGAATCCCCTTTTCGTCCACAGTCGCTTTATTTTCCCATTATAAATGAATATTCACTAGCTACTTTTGTATTTGTAATTTAGTGTTGTAGTTTGTTTTTTTATTTTTTGTTTTAATCACACCCGAGGATATTTTTCCATTTTTCTTCAGATAGAGTGGGAGAGAGTGAGGGAGAGAGGGAGATAGAGAGAAACATCCATGTGAGAGAGACACTACTGGTTGCTTCCTGCAGGACCCCGATCAGGGCCAGGGGTGAACTCAACTGAAGTATGTGGCCTTAACTGTAATCGAACCCGCGTTGTAGTTTTTTAAGAGTTGCTAAATTGTATAAGCTGTAGGCCTCAGAAAATTTCTATCTATTCCATATTAGCTTTTTTATATTTGGAAAGTTAAAAAGAAATGAACACTTAAATCATGGTTTTTGTACTTATTAAAGGGGGCATTGGCAAAAGAGGGAGAAGCTCTACAGCTGCTATCCTTTGTGGATGAAAGGGCGTTGTAATAAAGCAGACTTTCTACCTGAGCAGGTGATAGTGGGTCAAAAAGATAATGAGAAACCCTCATGGCAGATTGGCTGAACTGTCTGTCTCCTGAAGAACCAACACACTGCAATTCCTCAAGGCAACCAAGTCTCAGGCATCTGTGTGACTTCAAATACAACCTCTGCCCCAAAAAGGGCAACTAGCCTATCTTTTGTTGCCCGGTGCCACCTGATACTTGGCGCCTTCCCGTCTATGAGGAAAGAAAAAAACAAATTTCCTCCCTTTTTTCTCTCCTCTCAGTTGTGAATTCTTTCACAAGACTGCATCACTGGCCCAAACAAAACCCTAACAGTTTCTAGGTTCTTTTGTTAATTAGATGTGACAAGTGAGATCAGGGTAGAAGCTATACTTGTGACTGCCACTCATTGGAAGCTATTATTGTTTCTACAGACTTATTTATTTTTCCCAAAATTCAACAGGCCTTAGGCTAAGTAATTTCCATAATGATTAACAGGGTGCATGTGACTTCATTCTTGTAACTGTTAGTCCAAGCACACAAATATATATATATATATATATATTTATACTGTTTTCTGAGGGGTCTGAACTCCTGGGCTGCACCTTAAGAAAGTGTTGTCCATTGTTTTTGTGCATCTAGGTTCACACACCTTTGAAATTCTGCATTTCAGTCCTCCCCTTCCAAAGTAGTAACCATAATCTTAACTATCTCTAATCCCTGCCTAGCTTTCTCCCACCTCCTTGTAATGTTCCTTAATTTTAGATGCAGAAAGGAAATGGCAAAACCATCCCTCTCCACAACATTGAGATCTTGTTACTAGCTAAAATAAACTCAAAAACTTGCTACAGGTTTGGATATTTACGTTGACACCTTTTAGCATCTTAAAATCCTATTGAAATTTGGATAGTGATAAGTCTTAACTGCTACATAAATTTATTTTAGACTTCAGCTGGTAAGTAGAGGTCAGTTTCTATTGCCTGAGCTACAGTCCTATTTCAGGTAGACCGGTATTGAATGCTGGAGTCAGAAATGAATGACTTTTGACGACTGGGATTTTTTTTTGCATACTACAGTGCTGTTAGATTTAGTTGTAGAAGGTTAGATGGATTAAAAGGAGTAACAAACAGTGTGTGTACAGGAGCCTCTATATAGATAAGCACACTCATGAAAACTTGTCAACATTCAATTGACTAGGACAAAATGAGTAGTCAATACTAACGTGTTTCTGATGATTAAAAGTGTCAATAACTTGAAGTCCAATTAACAGGTAACATTGGTCTTTCCTATGCAGTGAAATTTTATTATCTAAATATCATAAAGGACCCAGAGAAAGACCCATATGATCTCACATGTGAAATTTAACCAAAACAAACAAACCGACAAAATACTAAGGTATAGATACGTGGAAGCCTGACAATTCGGGAGTACAGGGGGACTGGATTAAAAGTGAAGGGGTTAGCAAAACATACATGCGATAATACCTGGCCACAGACAAGCGTGATCATCATAGGGAAGGGAAGACACTGTGTGGCAGGGAGCAAAGGAGGTAAGGGTGATGGGGACATCTTAAAGACTACAGGTATAAAAAACAAAACAAAACAAAAAAACAGTCCTAAGGAACCAAAACTGCATTGTATAATACAGAGGGGGAAACAATTGGCTGATGTGCACTGGTAATACATGTATCGCAATAAACGTATGTATCTAAACAACCTATAAATTTAAAGACATAAATCTTAGCCGTGCACTTCTGTGAAATGTTAATTTGCACCTCAGTAATTACGGTTAGTGATTTACAACTCATTTCACTGAAATTGTGAGTGGCTCTGAAAAGAGCCTTTGTGAATACCACACTGAATTTGAGGTTCAGGCCCTCTCTCCGCGAATGCGGCGCGCAAGCTGGATGTCCTTGGGCATGATGGTGACGCGCTTGGCGTGGATGGCGCACAGGTTGGTGTCCTCGAACAGCCCCACCAGGTAGGCCTCGCACGCCTCCTGCAGAGCCATGACGGCCGAGCTCTGGAAGCGCAGGTCGGTCTTGAAGTCCTGCGCGATCTCGCGCACCAGGCGCTGGAAGGGCAGCTTGCGGATCAGCAGCTCGGTGGACTTCTGGTAGCGGCGGATCTCGCGCAGGGCCACCGTGCCGGGCCGGTAGCGGTGCGGCTTCTTCACGCCGCCGGTGGCCGGCGCGCTCTTGCGGGCGGCCTTGGTGGCCAGCTGCTTGCGTGGCGCCTTCCCGCCGGTCGACTTGCGCGCAGTCTGCTTGGTACGAGCCATCCTGAAAAGCCCCAGGCAGCGAGTCACTGGAAGATGGGAGGCCGTGCGCTCAACCTGTATATATAAGGCTAGTCCCGCTCTCATTGGACCGGGCATCTGTCCATCAAATCCTGCAGTGCAGTTACTGGAAGCCGCGTGCACTTCCTGGTTGCAGGAGCCTCCGGGGCGTTTGGATCGGAAATTAACTTTCTCCCCCCAGCCGCACTTTCAACAGCGGCTCTTTTTCTACCGTCTTTACGCCTTTTTCTTTATCACGTTCTTTGGCTTTGCTCCGCAGAATTTAATGTAAACGTTACAATGATAGACCTTGTTTGCTGAATAAGGTTTTTAAGTTTTGGCCCCTGAAACTGGTTTCCCTTTGACCTTTTTGAAAACGCGCGCGCTAGATGGCATTGGCCAAGTGGTTTTTCAGCCTCCTTCGAGTGTAGGAAGAATACATTCACGTCAATTTCATTTCTCTATTTAAACTTAGATTTTAAGATGTTTTGTTTTTAAATGCCTAACTCGACCTCACTCTTGATATTATAGCTACGCTAGCATTCACTTATTAACATTTTCACAAAAAGCATTCCACTACGTTTTACAATTCCCACTGAAACTTGTGTAAGATGGGGTTAAGGGGAAAAAAAACCTCAAGTGTGCCGAGTGGTACAAAGATTGCTGTGTGCCTTTTTTAAAAAAGTCACGCTGGACCCGGTGTCGAGCTCTGCCTAAAGGACAGGACTCCGGGGCTCGTATAGTCTTCCTATTAACATTCGACTAAGTAAGGCCCAGCGGACTTGGAGGTGGACGAGTCGCAGGTGTCCCACTAAGATGCAAACAACTGTCGAACAAGAGACTGGAGGGGGTCTTATTGCCCTGCCCGGTCACTAACTAGCGCGGCATTTAAATGTTTCACCTTTGACGAAGCATTGTTCTTCCCACTGTGTTGTGACTCTCTTAACTGCCTCTAAACCCTTTACCCAGGCCGATACCAAGTTTTGCTTTCACTGGCAGTTATACTCGCGTTTCTAGGCCTGCTTACACTGACATCTACTGGTAGGCCGAGGGGTTACGAGACACCATTTTCAAGTTCCTGCTACAACGCGGAAAGAGCAAGCCCTCTTAGTGGAAACGTGGGTGGCTCTGAAAAGAGCCTTTGGTTGAGATTGAGGAAGACTCTACTACCCCGCTTTATTTTCCCTTGGCCTTGTGGTGGCTCTCGGTCTTCTTGGGCAGCAGCACGGCCTGGATGTTGGGCAGCACGCCGCCCTGCGCGATGGTGACTTTGCCCAGCAGCTTGTTGAGCTCCTCGTCGTTGCGGATGGCCAGCTGCAGGTGGCGCGGGATGATGCGCGTCTTCTTGTTGTCGCGGGCCGCGTTGCCCGCCAGCTCCAGGATCTCGGCCGTCAGGTACTCCAGCACCGCCGCCAGGTACACGGGCGCGCCGGCCCCCACCCGCTCGGCGTAGTTGCCCTTGCGGAGCAGGCGGTGCACGCGGCCCACGGGGAACTGCAGCCCGGCACGCGAGGAGCGCGTCTTGGCCTTGGCGCGCGCCTTACCGCCCTGCTTTCCGCGTCCAGACATAGCTTTTCAAGAAAAATGCAAGTACCTTCTGGAAGAGATAAGCTGAATGGCACTAAAAGGAAAGCAGGACTAGTACTTATACTAATTGGAGGTAGGCTGTATGCAATTTCCCATAACCAATGGAAAACTAGAGCCTGCCTCCCTCATTTCAATATATGGCGCGCGCGCGCGCGCGTGTGAGTGTGTGTGTGTGTGTGTTTCTCCAATGTAATCTGGTCTGATGGACTTGACATTTTTTCTAATAATTGAACCAGTTTGGCTTTCTCTAAATAGTATCCTTTACCAACCCAGCGGGAATTATTGTCATTGTCCTGACATTTGGTTACTCGTCCTATTCCTTAATTGTGACTCATGATTTTGAAAATAAATACATTCAGAGCAATTTCCAAAAAGAAAACATTTAAGGGATACTTATACTCCAGGCGTTGCTTTCAGTTTTAGAGCTCGGAAAAGAGAGAGAAAGGAAAAATAATCCTTTTGGTTTCCCAAGTCTGCTTAAACTTCGTGAGCAATTTAACTGAAAGGAGGAGCTGGCCTAAGACAGTCTCTGACCTAAGATGGCAAGTGTGTCTCCATTTCATTTATATCTTGTGTTGAAAGCCTTAAAGGATAGCCTTGAAGGTATAGAGCATGAGTATTGCCTTCATTTTAAAGACTGTGAAACTGAGAGATCCAGAATGGTTATTTACAGTGCCAAAGGTAACAGTGAGTTAATGAGGCCAAGGACTCTAACTCCTGGGTGAAAAGCCTTTGCCATCATTTTCCAGCACCATTCCCAACCCTCCTACCCTTCTTTTCCCACTTGAGTACCACACACAGGATGTTAGTTATATCAGAAAACGCCATCATTCTCCATATCCTACTGCACCCCTGTGGTTGGAGGGCTGAAAAAGGTGAAATAAATGTTCTTTTTTAAACCACCCAGACTATGGTATTTTGATTGACTTTTTTAATTTTTAAGAGAAGGTCAAGTACTAAAGGGCAGATACCTACTTCCTTACAAAGAAATACAGTCATAAAAATGATGATTAAGACCTGTCTTTATTAATCTTAAAGAAAAACGAGAATGACCTCACTTATACAACACTTATGTATCTGTATGTATGGACTGACACAAGGTAAATTTCTGGAAAATCGGTGGCCAAAATGACCTGGATGATGGAATTGCAATTGATTCCAAGTTATTTAAAATTATTTGTAGTTGTTTTTATTTGTAAATAATGGGCAGGTTTTATTTTTCAAGAAAGTTAAAAAAAAACTCATGAAAAGACAAGAAAAACACATTGAATGTTGCTGAAAGACACTGAAGTAAGAATTGAGAATTCCATATGCTCTTACCTGCCAAGAAGCAGGGACTACAGCATTCCTTATATCCTCTACTGTCTCATTCCCAATCATGAACAGTCTCTGGATCTCCAGTTACCTGTCTGTTTGTGGTCCTTTCTTCTCTTTTCAGAATTCTCAATCTCCCTCCAAATTAAAATTCTCCCAATCCTTACCATCTGGTTCCAGGCACTCAGCACTCAGATATTTGATGGGGAGGACGGCAAAACTTCCATGACCCAAAGGAGAGTTAGGGATGTTGTCCAGGTCAGTTTTGTTTTCTTTGTAATTGGGAGCAGTTCTGGAGAAGATGTGGGTGTTTATTAGGAAAGAGGGGTGTATAAATCCTTCTGTTAGGACTAGGGTCCCAAGGTCTGGTTAGTTCTTAGCAAATGGTATTCTTGCTAAGTATTTTTTGGATGCAGCTTAATCCCCTTGAACTTGAACTTAACCCAACCAGATAAATTTAGCCGAGACTGCAACGAAGAAATCAACATGTAATTTACCAAATAGTGTATATAAAACATGGCTAAGCTTCCCTTTCTGGAGACAGAGCGTTGGATGTGAATTCCTGTCTCCTTTATTTGCTGCAAGTAAATAAAACTATGTAATAACAGCCATGTCTGATCCTTGGATAGAATACCACAAGCAGGGAACCCCTTAGTTTGCTAACACTTCTAGTATTTCTCCCAAGTTGATCAGCTTGACCACTGGTCCTGCTGTGTTCAAAGTTGGTACCTGGTCAGAATCATTTGGGGAAATTAACAAAATTCTTTGTCTTGTCACTGCTCTCCGCTATAGATCTGTGGACTACCCGGAGTCTAGGCATCTCATTTTCTTCTTTTTTTCTTTTATCCTTACCCGAGGACATTTTCCCATTTTTTTGTTCAGGGAGAGTGGGAGGGAGAGAGAGGAACAGAGAGAGAGAGAGAGAAACATCGATGTGAAAGGAACACATCGAGCGGCTGCCACCCGCACAACCGACTAGGGCCGGGGACAAACTGCAACCGAGGTACGCGCCGCTAGCGGGAACCGAACCCGGGTCTCTCAGGACCGCAGGTCGACGCTCTAACCACTGAGCCAAACTGGCCAGGGCTCATTGTTTTCTATCCTTAATTCCTTATTCAGTTGTGAAACATACACCAGGTATCAGAATAGATGGCAAAATTTCCAGGTTTGAGTTTACGAGGCCTGTTTTTTTTAGCTGAGTATGTCAAATAAGAGTGTAGTTTTAATATATCAAATAGTAGAAAGAAATGAGAGAAAGGTTGAAAGCAAGCAGGCAGGCAAAGTTATAAAGAACAAAATGAGGTGAAAATAGTCTCCTCCTGAGATCATTTTGAATACAATACATAATTTTACAAGTATTAGTGATTCCTAAACTATAGCCTGAATTCACTAACAAACTTTTTTATTGGGGAAGGAGTATCTTTTTACAACCTAGACCACAAAGATTAGTGATTTTTAAGGCAAGTGTCTTTTTCACAATTATATTTTGCATGCGCTGAGAAAGGAAGTATTTCTCATATAGTGGTCAGCTGTTATGTTGGGCTATGGGAAAAATTAAATTTTAATTTTCCTTTCAAAGGGGTTCCTTTTTGAGATATTCAGCTTTAAATTTCATTTCTTCATCCAACGACACTGTTGTGTCATCTACATCCTGGTCATAAACTGAAGGAAAACCTTTTTTCCACTTTGTAATAAGCAGTGAACCCGATTCTTCATCCTGCTCTTCCTCCCCTCCCCCAACCAGGAATGTAGACCCACCCCTCTTACCCTTCTTCAATCAAGGACGCTTCCTGCATATTTTGGATTATTTTTTGAGTCTCAGACGGTCTGAAAAAGGTCTGTAAAGAAAAACCAGCACATCTATCTCTCCATTCTTCTCCACCCCCACCCATACCCTCACCCCACCCACACGAGGCTGTGAGCCATGAGGTGGTGCCAGATATGGAAGGGCGGGAAATTCAAATGTTTTGTCCCCAAGTAGAGCTGGAGGCCACCATCCTACCCTTATAGGGGCATCCAAGAACAGTCAAAGGCCCAAGAAGTGGGACCGCGGATTTCTGGGATGCAAGGAAAATTCACACGTGTTTTAGATTGACTGTTACCATTGATACACAATTCCTGGAAAAAAATTGGAGCAATCTCAGTTCACCTGTGTGCAGAGGGCTCAAGTTATACCCCACAGAAACAAGAACCCGAGGAGCTACGGACAAATTCGCTGGCTGCTTACCCAACGCTTCCAAAACAAGGTGCGTTCTGGCCCCTAGAAGAAACACATCCCTACCTGCTCCTTGTGTCGCCTGGACCACTCCTGCTCCCACTAAAGCAGCCCAGATCATAGTCCCCTAAGGGTCCATACTGTCTCAAATTCTTTAAGGGCTTTCTTACCCAGCAGGAAAATTTCAGTCTTCATTAGAAATATGCAGAGGTAGGGAGTGAAGAGACCCATTTGCAGGTAAAGTTTGATAAGAAACTAAATGAACAGTAAATATAATTACCCGGCTCAGAAATGGCAGTTACAGCTACGCTTGGACAAAGTGTGTGGCTCTGAAAAGAGCCTTTGGGGTTAACAGTGGATGAAGCACATTACTTGGAGCTGGTGTACTTGGTGACGGCCTTGGTGCCCTCGGACACGGCGTGCTTGGCCAGCTCCCCGGGCAGCAGCAGGCGCACGGCCGTCTGGATCTCCCGGGACGTGATGGTCGAGCGCTTGTTGTAATGCGCCAGGCGCGACGCCTCGCCCGCGATGCGCTCGAAGATGTCGTTGACGAACGAGTTCATGATGCCCATGGCCTTGGACGAGATGCCGGTGTCGGGGTGCACCTGCTTCAGCACCTTGTACACGTAGATAGAATAGCTTTCCTTGCGGCTGCGCTTGCGCTTCTTGCCATCCTTTTTCTGGGCTTTAGTGATGGCCTTTTTGGAGCCCTTCTTCGGAGCTGGGGCAGATTTAGAAGGTTCAGGCATAACTTCTACAAAGAGCTGTAAAGCTACAAGATGCACTTTTTATGATAGAAATTATGGGAGAACTAAACGCTCGTTCAATTATATATATGTTTCTCTATGTAAATGAAGGATGGAGAATTTTTCCTTCTGATTGGATAATCATTACACTTGCGTTAAGGGGAGGTGTTTATGCAAATAGGGAATTCACATTTCTCTTTTCTATTGGATAGAATATAATTGAACCAATCAGATGGCTTACTGCCCTATCTCAGCACTATCTATAAATGCAACTCTTTAGGCTGCAAACTTCATCTCGTTTTTTCATTTGTTCTAGCGAATTCAGACTTTTTTAGTATGTCTGGACGCGGAAAGCAGGGCGGTAAGGCGCGCGCCAAGGCCAAGACGCGCTCCTCGCGTGCCGGGCTGCAGTTCCCCGTGGGCCGCGTGCACCGCCTGCTCCGCAAGGGCAACTACGCCGAGCGGGTGGGGGCCGGCGCGCCCGTGTACCTGGCGGCGGTGCTGGAGTACCTGACGGCCGAGATCCTGGAGCTGGCGGGCAACGCGGCCCGCGACAACAAGAAGACGCGCATCATCCCGCGCCACCTGCAGCTGGCCATCCGCAACGACGAGGAGCTCAACAAGCTGCTGGGCAAAGTCACCATCGCGCAGGGCGGCGTGCTGCCCAACATCCAGGCCGTGCTGCTGCCCAAGAAGACCGAGAGCCACCACAAGGCCAAGGGAAAATAAAGCGGGGTAGTAGAGTCTTCCTCAATCTCAACCAAAGGCTCTTTTCAGAGCCACCCACGTTTCCACTAAGAGGGCTTGCTCTTTCCGCGTTGTAGCAGGAACTTGAAAATGGTGTCTCGTAACCCCTCGGCCTACCAGTAGATGTCAGTGTAAGCAGGCCTAGAAACGCGAGTATAACTGCCAGTGAAAGCAAAACTTGGTATCGGCCTGGGTAAAGGGTTTAGAGGCAGTTAAGAGAGTCACAACACAGTGGGAAGAACAATGCTTCGTCAAAGGTGAAACATTTAAATGCCGCGCTAGTTAGTGACCGGGCAGGGCAATAAGACCCCCTCCAGTCTCTTGTTCGACAGTTGTTTGCATCTTAGTGGGACACCTGCGACTCGTCCACCTCCAAGTCCGCTGGGCCTTACTTAGTCGAATGTTAATAGGAAGACTATACGAGCCCCGGAGTCCTGTCCTTTAGGCAGAGCTCGACACCGGGTCCAGCGTGACTTTTTTAAAAAAGGCACACAGCAATCTTTGTACCACTCGGCACACTTGAGGTTTTTTTTCCCCTTAACCCCATCTTACACAAGTTTCAGTGGGAATTGTAAAACGTAGTGGAATGCTTTTTGTGAAAATGTTAATAAGTGAATGCTAGCGTAGCTATAATATCAAGAGTGAGGTCGAGTTAGGCATTTAAAAACAAAACATCTTAAAATCTAAGTTTAAATAGAGAAATGAAATTGACGTGAATGTATTCTTCCTACACTCGAAGGAGGCTGAAAAACCACTTGGCCAATGCCATCTAGCGCGCGCGTTTTCAAAAAGGTCAAAGGGAAACCAGTTTCAGGGGCCAAAACTTAAAAACCTTATTCAGCAAACAAGGTCTATCATTGTAACGTTTACATTAAATTCTGCGGAGCAAAGCCAAAGAACGTGATAAAGAAAAAGGCGTAAAGACGGTAGAAAAAGAGCCGCTGTTGAAAGTGCGGCTGGGGGGAGAAAGTTAATTTCCGATCCAAACGCCCCCGGAGGCTCCTGCAACCAGGAAGTGCACGCGGCTTCCAGTAACTGCACTGCAGGATTTGATGGACAGATGCCCGGTCCAATGAGAGCGGGACTAGCCTTATATATACAGGTTGAGCGCACGGCCTCCCATCTTCCAGTGACTCGCTGCCTGGGGCTTTTCAGGATGGCTCGTACCAAGCAGACTGCGCGCAAGTCGACCGGCGGGAAGGCGCCACGCAAGCAGCTGGCCACCAAGGCCGCCCGCAAGAGCGCGCCGGCCACCGGCGGCGTGAAGAAGCCGCACCGCTACCGGCCCGGCACGGTGGCCCTGCGCGAGATCCGCCGCTACCAGAAGTCCACCGAGCTGCTGATCCGCAAGCTGCCCTTCCAGCGCCTGGTGCGCGAGATCGCGCAGGACTTCAAGACCGACCTGCGCTTCCAGAGCTCGGCCGTCATGGCTCTGCAGGAGGCGTGCGAGGCCTACCTGGTGGGGCTGTTCGAGGACACCAACCTGTGCGCCATCCACGCCAAGCGCGTCACCATCATGCCCAAGGACATCCAGCTCGCGCGCCGCATTCGCGGGGAGAGGGCGTAAACTCTTTGTTGTCAAGACTTAAACTAAGACCCAAAGGCTCTTTTCAGAGCCACCTAAAGTTTCGTTTAGGAGAGCTGTAATCAGAACTATGATTTGAGTGAAGTACTTCAGGGGAGGCAATTTTGCGCTCACTCTACCGTGGGAGCTCCTGCCTTGGGGTTTTCTTTATATTTTGGAGGGCTTCCTTTGCGTTTTAGTGAAATCTGTTTTCAGGCCGTAACTGCGAAAGGTGTCTTTCCCAGTATCTGTTAAAGTAGACCAGTTCAAGTAAGTCCTCCGCCACAGAACGTACACTTCAGAAACCAAGTTTAAAGCAAACTTGTGTTATAGCGATACAATGTGTCTTCTACCTGATTGTGAATTGACTGCTGATTGTGAAAATGGGTGTTAGGCTTCTAATCATCATAGCAGTACTTACGTAACTTGGAATTTGATTTTAAGGTGGAACGCACGAATGAATTTCAAACTGGGAGTGGGTAGCGCGTGGGATGAACCAAAACAAACCCTTTACTTGGAAGTTCTTAACATCTTTATTTGTAATAGCCCTAAAGTGGAAATGTTACTGGCAAAAGGACCTGGCCTGGGATGGGGTTTGCCTTGGGCCGGTTTGTAAGGTTTTGGTTCTTACAACATTGAGTCAAGGGAATATTGAGAGTATGTTTATTAAAGCTGGGGACAGTGAAACAAGGAAAGGCTTAGGATAGAAGCAGCAACAAGAGCGAGAATGGGCAGGGCTGCTTTGGCTCTAGAAACGTGGGAAAGTGAGCCAGGGCAGAGCTTCTGTCAGCTCACTGGAAAGGCAGAGGAAAAGGGGCCTCGAGGACAGGTTTAGGTAGTTAGCCCAGAATGAGCTTTCCCTGCCATTGCTTCCCTCGTTATAAGCCTGTTGGGGTTTCTTGGATTTAGGAGATGCATGCCTTCTTCTGGGGAAGAAGAGAGGGAAAGGAAAGGTCATAGTCTGGGGAGGGAAAAGGTGGGTACTGTAGTCTTCCTTCATCTTGAGGATTTTAAAGCCTGGCAGTTCAGGGAGGTCTTGGGAAGGATGCAATAGAATAATCATTAGCTTTTCTAGGTGTGTCTTTTCAGGGTTGTGTTCACTGACTGGCACCAGGGCAAGGGGGTCATTAGTCATCACAATTGGACCTGGTGTGCCGGCTGCCCTTTTTTTGCTGCTTTTCTGGGCCTGGTGCTGGAATACAACTGAGGCCTACATGTTTTTTTCTGTGGAGGAAAGGTTAGGGGTTCTAAACCAAATGAGCGGCAATATGCCATAGGAGAAATGGCCACCCTGAGGGCATGGTCCAATGGTATTTTGCCCATTGCTGGGTACCTGGGGCTTTCAGTTCTGGTGCCTTGTATCTGGCTGAAAATTGCTCTGCCAGAGTGTTTAGCTATCTGTCTTTGATTCCCTATTTCACCTGCCAAGGAATTTTCCTAGCTTCTTACTATCTGCTTCAGAAACGATGTAGTATAGTATTTGAATTGACCAATGGTTATTACACATATTGTCAAACATCTATTTATACAACTGGATCCTACTTAGCAATAAAAAGGGAGGCTATTAATGCATGTAACAACGTGACTGGATCTTCAGGGCATAATGCTTAGTGGAAAAAAGTCACCCTGAAAGTTTACAAATTGTGTTGTTTCATTTATGTGGCATTCTCAAAATGACAAAACCAGAAATGTATCCTAGATGAGCAATTGCTCCAAGACAGAGAAGAGGTGGGGAGAATGTGACGATAAAGGGGTAACAGAAGGAATTCCTTGGTGATGGTGGAAGTTTTGTATCCACATCATTGTGCCAGTTACATGATAGAAACATAGGGCTGTTCACACACATGCCCAAATGAGAGCATATACAACTGGTAAGGACTGAATAAGGCCTGTAGTGTAGTTCATATTTTTTTCTATGTCAAATACCTGGTTTTTATAGTGTAATTACATAGCATGTCTCCAGTAGGGGAAACAGAGTCTGAGGGACTCCATTTAAAATAAAGAAGGAAATAAGTCTCTACCAATTTTTAGCATTTGCTACTTTGTATTGCTTAGGATTCTATGGTTTAACAGATCAGTGTGATTTTTTTTTTCCCAATGTAAACCGCCGAGTTTGTATTCTTCTGGCTGTTATAGTGGTGACATATCTATTTAGCGAAGACTTGTTATTCATTTTAGTACATGATTTTGAAGATACTGCTTCCCCTGCATCAAAAGTAAATAGTTTCAAAGTTTGATATTTGTTATCTCAAATTTTCTGGTCGGGTATTTGGCTGAGTTGATCCATGGTATTTAGGATAATGTGCCTAGTACAACATTGAGGGACAAAAACCACAGACCCAAAATCTAAATTTAACACTTTATCTAATTGTAGTTTCAACATCTCCCTGGAATATTATCTTAATCCACCAGTCTAGAATTTTCTGGTCAAGCACCAGTGATCAGTCACATGAGTCCTCTCTATCCCCTTAGAATGAAGAGGCAATCTGCATGATAAAAACCCTCACATTCTCTTTCCCCAAAGAGAAATCCTTTCTTTACTTTTGTTAATAGCTCCTCTGCCCTATCCTTGTTCCTATAAAAACTTCATTTTGTACAGCCCCTCCAAGCACACTTCTAGTCTTAAGTGGGATGCTGTCTGGCTCATGAATTGGTTAATAAAACTAATTAAATCTTCAAAATTACTGTTGAACTTTGTTTTTAACCACAATAAAAACTCTCTCTTATTTTGAACATTGTAGTATATTGTAAGGACGTCATTTCTATCTTAATGCTCTCATGTAGTAGCTTGGCCTTTTTTTTTTTTTGTACATACCCCTGGTAGAAACCGAACCTGGGACTCTCTGGTCCACAGGCCAACGCTCCAAACGCTGAACCAAAGCGGCCATGACAGCTTGGCAAATTTTTTAAAATAATGCAAAGCCCATCCGTGTTACTCAGTGGTTGAGCATTGACCCATGCACCAAGTGGTCACTGGTTCTATTCCTGGTCAAGGCATATGCCCATGTTGTGGGCCAAATCCTCAGTGGGGAGCATGCAGGAGGTGGCCAATTGATGTTCTTTCTCATCAATGCTTCTCTCTCTTTCTCCCTCTTCCTTCGTCTCTCTAAAATTAATAAAGAAAAAATATTTAAAAAATTATTTAAAAAATAATGCAAGCATCTGAGAATGACTTTCACTTGCATAACATTCCTTTTCCTAGTTTTAGAGTTTATGACAACTTTACTTGAATTCCATGCACCAACTCCTGAAAAGGACAAGCACCTCTCCAACCTCTAACCTACAGTGCAGAAGAACAGGGCATTAGGCCCTGGATTTGACATTTTTTTTCTGCAGTCCTTCATTGTTTAAATGTATATGCTCAATTTGTTTAAATTAAAGCACACTGTACCTGCTGTTATATTGGGAATGTTTTGAAATCTTTCCATGTGCTTTAAACCTATCTGTATTATAAATATTTTGTTTTAAACACAGAAGTCGAGGCAATAGAAATTTACTGACAAAGAACCATAAGCCAGACATTTTGCTAAAAATAACTAAATTATTAACAAGTATTTATCCTTTTTATGGAGAAGGGCCACTAAAAGTCAGTTTAACAAACAGGCCCAATAACAGCTTGAAAGCAGGAGCACACCGGTTTTACACCCAAAGCCTTGGCAATGTATTCACCAATTCCTTTCTTGGGTTTTGGCTTTGTTTCAATTCCCGTGTGGAAATGATCCAAGAATATCCAGGGGATGGATAGTCTTTAAACACACACACTAACGAGGTAATTTATTTTCTGTACACGGTAAACACTATTAGAATCCCTTATTTTCTAAAGACCAGAAAATCTCTCTTCCCTGTGTTGTTGACTCTAGAAGCAGGGGCGGGGACTCGGCGGTTTTCCGCCTTTTCTGGTCTGTTTCAAACGAGGTCCGCCCAGTTGTTACTTAAGAGGCTGCAGCGAACAGTGTGGAGACAAGCGTCGCAGAATCTACTTTCTGGTCATGTCAGGTCGCGGCAAGGGCGGGAAGGGTCTCGGGAAGGGAGGCGCCAAGCGCCACCGCAAGGTGCTGCGCGACAACATCCAGGGCATCACCAAGCCCGCCATCCGGCGCCTGGCCCGGCGCGGCGGCGTCAAGCGCATCTCCGGGCTCATCTACGAGGAGACCCGCGGGGTGCTCAAGGTGTTCCTGGAGAACGTGATCCGGGACGCCGTCACCTACACGGAGCACGCCAAGCGCAAGACGGTCACGGCCATGGACGTGGTCTACGCGCTCAAGCGCCAGGGCCGCACCCTCTACGGCTTCGGCGGCTAAGCTACTTGTTTCTACCAACCTAGTCTTTTTAACAAAGGCTCTTTTCAGGGCCGCCCACTCTCTGGAAGATCTGTGCACGGCCTTACCTTCTCCAATGGTTTTCTGGCCACCTTTTCTCATGTCAGAAGTTATCGGGGTATTAATCTTTAGCAGTAACTTCAGGCTGGATGGTCTCAGCCCCATTGCGCAGGGACCTAGGAGCTGCGGCGTCCTCGGCCACTCGGAAGAGAATGTGACCTTCTGGAGGTGACCCTCAGGAGTAAGCAAATTAGAGGGGGGGGGTCCTCGCTATTTTCAGGCTTACCCTGGGGGATATAAAGTTATGGGGTTCCCATTTTGTTTTTGGCAGGGACCACACTCGCCCCTTGTCCGCTGTAAAAGGATCAATTACAGGCGTTGTTTGGCGAGGAGCAGTGACGCGGAGCATTAGAGGCGTCGCGGAGCTAGTTCATAGTCCAGAGTTAAATATTTCTACAAATAACGAGTTTGGGAGGGCGCAGCCAGCAGCCCAGGAAGCCAGATCGATTAAAATTCCACACTGCCATTCCAGCAAAACAATGGGTATTCATCAGTAATGTGTCGGCCCTGGGTGACGTCACTAAGAGACGCACTTTGGACTCACCCATCCCCCTCCACCCAGGCTTCGGGCTGAGTATCTTCACCCACCTTTCCCCCAACAAATTGGGTGGGCTTGGGTTTAAATGTAACTAACTGGGCCTTGCTTATCTCCATTCTCACGCCGGGCCCCTTCTGAAACCCAAGACTAAGCAATTTGTAAATTACGTTGTCTACACTAAGGGGTCAGTGTTCTAACTCTCGTGTCTCTAACTTCCTCTGAGATTCGAGGCCTCACTGCACTTGTGAAGGAGCTTCCTCCCGCGGTCACAGGCTCACCTCTTAACTCTTGCCTGCTGTTAATTCTTAAATTGTGTTGCTCTTTCCCATGGACCATTTAAACACAATAAAGATGCCCTCAGATTGGTAAATCGGTTTAATAGTCTGCATCTTTGAAAGTCCTTTACCATTGATTTTTTTCATTTCACCCTACCTGAATGCAGTGGATGGGGTTTCATAATGGGGAATATACAAGCTTGATTTGAGTTACCTGGCTATAGATAGAAGACTGAAACTTGCCCTAAATTTCCTTAATTCTGTTCATTTTAACCACACCCGTGACCCCAACACGCAAGTGTCTTCGAAAAACGCTGCCAACAGCCCTTTTTCAGTAGTTGAGTGGCCCTGAAAAGGGCCTTTGATGAAGAAATGGCTGGGCTGGTTGAGTGGGTGTGATTTAGCCGCCGAAGCCGTAGAGGGTACGGCCCTGGCGCTTGAGCGCGTAGACCACGTCCATGGCCGTGACCGTCTTGCGCTTGGCGTGCTCCGTGTAGGTGACGGCGTCCCGGATCACGTTCTCCAGGAACACCTTGAGCACCCCGCGGGTCTCCTCGTAGATGAGCCCGGAGATGCGCTTGACGCCGCCGCGCCGGGCCAGGCGCCGGATGGCGGGTTTGGTGATGCCCTGGATGTTGTCGCGCAGCACCTTGCGGTGGCGCTTGGCGCCTCCCTTACCCAGGCCCTTTCCCCCTTTCCCGCGTCCAGACATCGTTTCAATAGTAGAAAACCAGGGATAGCTAACATGGAAGAGAACTGATTCTTATATAACTACCTCGCCCCGCCCCCACACCAACCCCCTCCCCCAACAGATGGAAAGCGCGCAGGCGGGAAATGTGACGTCAACTGTCCCCTCCCTTAATCCCTCCTTCAAGCCTGGGAACCCGCGGAGGAAGGGGGTGAGCCCGAGCCCAGCCTCAGGGAGCATTGATTGGTCTACTCTAATAACTACTTGGAGAAACCAAGCTGAGTAAACTCATGATTCCAAAAAATATTGAAGCAGGAAAAACACACAAGAAAACAAAAAGAGCAGTTCACAGGTAATCTTGGGAATCGTAAAAATACCAAGATCAAAGGCAAAAATGAAAGCTAAGCAATTCGTAGTAAGTCACAAACCTGGTTTTAAGATGTCTCAGTCCATATTAACTGGACTGCCCCTCAAACTTTCACTGGCTCTTAATTAAGACTGAACAGAACAACTTAACACTTGTAAGAAGCCAGCTTGTTCGTTTAAACCGCTAGTACTTATACAATCCCAAACTCAGCAAAATGTTGCTTATGTATGTTTTAACTCCCAAATGCATGCCTAGTTATATTAAGCCACTGTGGATTAGGTAACTAATGTTTTTTTCAGCTCCTTGCGTAAAAAGGTGAGTGGCTCTGAAAAGAGCCTTTGGGAGAATGGGTGACCTTGGAATTAGGCCCTTTTCCCGCGGATGCGGCGCGCGAGCTGGATGTCCTTGGGCATGATGGTGACGCGCTTGGCGTGGATGGCGCACAGGTTGGTGTCCTCGAACAGCCCCACCAAGTAGGCCTCGCACGCCTCCTGCAGAGCCATGACGGCCGAGCTCTGGAAGCGCAGGTCGGTCTTGAAGTCCTGCGCGATCTCACGCACCAGGCGCTGGAAGGGCAGCTTGCGGATCAGCAGCTCGGTGGACTTCTGGTAGCGGCGGATCTCGCGCAGGGCCACCGTGCCGGGCCGGTAGCGGTGCGGCTTCTTCACGCCGCCGGTGGCCGGCGCGCTCTTCCGGGCGGCTTTGGTGGCCAGCTGCTTGCGCGGCGCCTTCCCGCCCGTGGATTTCCGTGCTGTCGGCTTCGTCCGAGCCATGACAACTAAAGCCTGCAAACAGAAACCACGCAGTGGACCAAATATGTCGCCCGGAATTATTGATAGAATTTTTTAGCACGTAATGTGTAGTAATAGTGTGAGAAAAATGTTTAGATAGTACGTTTCAGGTTCTGATTGCTGTATCTTGAAGCTTTTCAACAACAGGGCACTTTCATTGACTACTACTTGCTTTCCTACGCTCTTCAAACTTTTGCTTTCCATCCCATCTGATTCTGAATTAAATGCTTTGAGCATTATATTTTCATAAAAGTAAAACTGTTGGCTTTAGTTTTTAGTTTTATATATTTCCTGTTTTGGGGGAGGAAATGGAGGAGATATTGATGACCTCTCCCTGCCCCTTGACATAATCTTCCAACTAACCTGCATAACCCGAGTTTAGGTGATACATTTCTGTAATCTTTTACAAAAACGAGATCCCTTTGTATTGCTTAGATTGACTGGGGGACTTCATTGAAAACTACAAGACATCATTTCAAACAGAGTAAATCACGGCTTCACAGAAATATCCCCTGTAATCAGGCATCTTTTTTATTAAATGTTTGTGCTCCGAGTTCTACACTTGTTTTCTGAAACTCACTTTTCCTAAAGCCTCCAGTACATTTTGGCACGTGCCCAAAATATGATGAATGGGGCCCCGGCCAGTGTGGCTCAATGGTTGAGCATCGACCCATGCACCAAGAGGTCGTGTGTTGGATTCCCAGTCAGGGCACATGCCCAGGTTATGGGCCAAATCCCTAGCCGGGGCATGCAGGATGTGGCCAATCAGTGTTCTCCCTCATCGATGTTTCCATGTCTTTCTCCTTTCCTCTCTCAAATCAATAAAGAAAAAAAAATTGTGACTGTGGAGTTACCCACCAGCAAACTGGATACACAGCGCACTGACCTAGTAATTAGATTCTGAACCCTAAGGACTATTTGACATTTCCAACACCTTACCCTATAGTTTTTTGGTGTTTTTTTTTCCAAACTTGAACGCTGTGAAAGTGGCTCTTTTATACTAGGATGAGCTAGACCAGATGTCACATTTTGATTGGTTAAGTCCATCATGCCGAACAGCCATTAAATAAGCAGATTCTAGTAGCCTTCATTTGCATATTTTAAGACGCCTTAACCCCAAAACGGGTCAATTTAATATTTACGTTTTACTTATTTATTTTTAAATCCTCACCAGAGGACACTATTCCATTTATCTTCAGATACAATGGGAGGGAGGGGGTGAGAGAGAGAGAGAGAGAGAGAGACACATCGACTTGATTGGCTACCTCCCGCACGACTCCGACCAGGACCGGGCACCTAACTGCAACCCAGGTGCGTGCCCTTGATGCCAATCGAACACGCGATTCTTTGGTCGGTCTTGGCCGGAGCCAGTATTTGTTTTAAAAGCTGGGTTTGACTTATTAGATGATTTATTACCTCCCCCCAAAAGATTTGTTTACATGTTTCAGAAAATATTCACATAGAAAACCATTCAGTTCAGTCTTGGAGAAAGATTTATACCTGTTATTATAGTTGACTATTCCTCAAACTAAGAAGCGTTGTCCCAACTGCTCTTACAAATGATCTTTTTGTTTGGTAATTTTTGTTTTTTTTTCTCACCCGAGGATATTTTTCCATTGCTCCTTAGATAGAATGGAAGGCATTGGGGAGGAGGGGGAGCATCGATCTACAGGTCGACGCTCTAACCGCGGAGCAAAATTGTCCAGGCCCTTCCAAATTCTTAGTAAGAATTATGTGATGCATTTTTAAAATATAGACTCTCTGGAAAATGGGAGGAAGAAAGAGTGATAGAGAAAATGGAGGGGATGTATGTGGGACCCTGACGTTAGTGGCTGTCACCTGTTAAATTCCTACATTGCTAGGCAAACGGGACGCAAGCTTACCAGGCTAGGCGGACCTGTTTGAGAACTGCGGCCGCGCGCGGGAATGCAATGTCCCTGCCGTGATCTCCAGCCGCCAGGGGCGATTTAACCGTTAGCACTGTTTGTACACCTAAGTGCTTTCACAGCCTCAGGCAAAATAAAGAAGTTTGCGTTAAAAGGCACTCGGGGTGTGCCTTATCTCTTTCAAATTTACAGTAAACGCATCCCCCCAGGGCCAGTGTGTGACCGTGTCGTTACCCTTTTTTAATGGTTTGGATGCTGGGTATTGAGTTTCCTAAATCTGTTGAATGACTATGTTGATAGCGATCACAGGTCAAATTTTAGCGCCTATTTGAGGTATTTCGTAAGGATTAAAAGGCATCTGACATTCGTTTGGTGCATTGGGTTGCAGAAATAAATCGGAATTACAAGAATTGTTTGCGTATTATGTCTTGCACATGTCCAACTTGATAGTGGCGGTATAGCGAGTTCTGGTGTTGTCTACGATGCCCCTTTGACAAGTCATGTCGCTCTTCAGCGTGGCGGGGAAAAAGCAATGATATTGATGAGAACCGGTCCCAAACCTGCAGACCAGCCTTACACCCCGCGTATTCCTCTCCCTCCCCAACCCTTCAACAGCCCCTTACATTTATGGCAGATTGGAGAGAAATGCCTCTAACAATGCTTCCTCTAGGTGAAGTTTCAGGTGAAACTCCTTAGATTCTGGTGTGAACCTTCCAAAAAATCTTTTTTTTTTTTTTTTTTAAGAAAGGAGCACACTGCAACATTTAATGGGCAATAGAGCCTGGCCCTCCCGGGTCTTGTATTTCGTCTCGGCCGGCGACAGGGACTGAGAACCGGAGGTTAGGGGGCGGGGTCTCCCTTCGGAGCCGCCAAGGAGCAAGGCGCGCCCAGGGCGACAGGGGGCGCAGGTGGCGGCGCGCACCAATCACAGCGCGGCCCCGCCTTATAAATAAGCGGCTCCCTGGCCTGTGGCGTTCTCCGGCCTCCCAGTTTCTCCAGTTGGCTAAGTCGGTCTCTCCTCTCACCATGTCTGAGGCCGCGCCTCCGGTTCCTGCTGTCTCCACGGCCCCGGAGAAGCCTTCAGCTGGCAAAAAAGCGAAGAAGCCGGTGAAGGCCGCGGCGGCCGCCAAGAAGAAACCCGCGGGCCCGTCCGTGTCGGAGCTGCTGGTCCAGGCCGTCTCCTCTTCCAAGGAGCGCAGCGGCGTGTCCCTGGCCGCGCTCAAGAAGGCGCTGGCGGCCGCGGGCTACGACGTGGACAAGAACAACAGCCGCATCAAGCTGGGCCTCAAGAGCCTGGTGAGCAAGGGCACCCTGGTGCAGACCAAGGGCACCGGCGCCTCGGGCTCCTTCAAGCTCAACAAGAAGGCGGCCTCCGGGGAGGCGAAACCCAGCACTACAAAGGTGGCAGCCAAACCCAAGACAACTAGCACTTCTAAGAAACCTAAGAAGACCAGTGGTGCTGCTAAGAAAGCTGTCAAGACTCCAAAGAAGGTCAAAAAGCCTGCGATGACCAAGAAGCCCTCCAAGAGCCCCAAGAAGCCGAGCACTGTGAAGCCTAAGAAAGGAGCCAAGGGCCCGGCCAAAGCTAAGGCTGTGAAACCCAAAGCAGCCAAGGCAAAGGTGACCAAGCCAAAGACCGCTGTCAAGCCCAAGAAGGCAGCACCTAAGAAGAAGTAGTTCCAGTTGGTGCCTTGTTAAAATAACCCAACGGCTCTTTTAAGAGCCACCAACATGTTTCTGGAAAGAGCTTAAAGGTACACAGGCCTATGGCTCATTGTAAATTTTCAGATCCCTGGTAAATGCAGAGTGCTCTCTTCATGGCAGGCTGCCCAGCATCAAAATCACTTATAAACAATGTCCCTGACGGTCCCAAGTTAGTTGTGTTCGGGGGCTCCCAGCTGATTTAATATGCAGAATTTATGGGAGACACTAGTACTATGTTTTTACCTGAGGTTTTTATTAACAGACCTACCTTGAAGTCCCACACCTCAAACTTGGTCATTGATGGTAATTACCTATAACCATGAACAGACGTAAGAGATAAGAGAGACGAGAGAGTGGTCCAGGCTGGAAGTGTTCACTCTGCAGGATTTCCGTGGTTGTTTCTGAGATGAAACCAGGGTCCATGTTGCTGAAGCGGTCTTTAACGAAATTGGGAAATGCTTTGGGGGTGACCAATAAAATCTAACGCACCAGGCTACTGTCCAGCAGGTGGGCTCTCCTGCAGTGTCCCCACATCGAGTTTTGACCTTGCAGGGCGCTCTGTTGTGGAGCCTGCCTCTGTCCCTGCGTGGATTTGCTGACTGTCCCCTAGTTTCTAGCCATTGTCAAGACGAAGGAGCTCGGCTGCAATGGAGCTTTGGAGCCAAAGCCCAAAAGCTCTTACCCGGTATTTCTGTTTGTAGAAACAGAACTGCCCTGATTGGATATTTGAAATTCCCACCCTGCCTCACTAAATCGTACTTCATCAGGTGCAGCATTTTCAACCCTGGTGGTGCGTGCTACACTACATTCCATAGTTGGGGACACTTTTGCCGAATTGTCCCTTTAAGCTTTAGAAATTTTAACTCTGGGACTTAGAATGTAATGTCTTTTTTCACATTCAAGAAAAAAACAGTATATGATGAACCAGGTTTATTCACTTTTTTAACGCAGCTCAGTTGGTTTTAAGACTATTTTTACATAGGCACCTACTAATTGTTTAATAGTCAAATACTGTATTTTTTAAGATCTTTTTCTTTTTAGCATTGTTTTGCCTGACTCCCTCCATCCCCTAATGTCTGCCATTTCACATCCAAGTCCCCCTTTCCCCACCCTGTTCCTGCTGTCCTCCAAATTTGCTCTTTTACATATACCTACCCATACATATGCACGATTGTTTCATTTTTCGGTTAGGGTTGTTACTATTTACAAAATGGTATATATATTATATACACTTTTATGCATGTTGTTTTTTCTCAACAAAACCTTGAGGAAATCCTTTAAAGTCAAATCATCTTCTAAAAAATGTCTTTCTCCCTGCAGCTTCAAGCTGTGGTCTCATTACTTTCTGCAAGTCTAAAGGGTATAAAATTATTTCACATGGCCACTTCGTTTCTTTAGGCTTCTTGGTCATTTGAATATGCACGTCTCTGAATGCCCACTTATATCTTGCTCATTTATTCATTGGGAAATCTGTCTTTCTCTTGTCCCATTGTTGTTTTTATATAATAGAAATATTAACTTTATATTTATTTATCCCCTGTGTTGCAGATAATTTTTTAATTTTGGCATTTTTTTCCTCTATTTTCTTTGTCTATGATGTATTTATATGTATTATATATAATTTACTAGACATCTATAACATTTTGAATATTAAATATTTTCATTACAAACAATAATAATGATTACAAAATGTTTAGTTTCTGCCTTTTGCTTTAAAGATAACATCATTGACGCACAATCTTGAGATGTTTTGTGGAATCTTGATTCTTCAACATAGATTACCCAGCCACAATTTGTAAAGGCTCCAGACAAGGTAACGTCAAGAACTCAATTAATCACTAAGGAAAACCTGGTTTGGCTTGCACAATAACTAACCGATCAGCTTCACCCGTGACCCTTGATATTTGCCTTTAAAACCCCTTAGTTAAAAACCATCATGGAGCTTGGGTTTTGAGGGATGGTTTTCCATCCCTTGTGTGGGAAGTTATCCAGACACACGCAACATGATTCTAATGAATGCCAGTATCTTTGCACATGCAATTCTATCAGGGACCTGGCAACCTCATAAAACAATTGTCTAGAATTTTCAGATTGAAGAAAGAAATTGAGGAGTCAACAATCCTGAAAATGGGAACCTCAGAGACTCCTTGCAGAGATTGCTCCTTGCTTTGGAGCTGGGCAGGGAGAGTGTAAGTCTCTGGTATCTCAGGGTTCTTTCTCCCACTCCTGACAATATGAGAACCATGGAAGCCAGCCAATTTGTTCCTCAAGGAGCTGTCTATGTTCCTTTCAAAACGTTCATTATATTTTTAAATTATTGCTTGTCAGTAATTTAACCTTGGTATGGGGTGGCCATGGGGTCCACACCCTAAGCACAGAGTTTGCCTGGAGTTATAAGAGCAGTTTCTCCGGGCTGTGGAGTTCAGCATTTCTTTTAGAACTGCTGCTCAACTCTCAACTGCAAACAGAGGGAGCCTGTCTTAGGGAATGAGGCTCACTGCTTGAGGGAGCACATCTTTACAAGGTCCAGGATGAATTACAGCCTCCTGCGCAGATTCAGGACATGCTGCTGCTTTTCATCTGCATCCTCTCGAGTTTCCAGTCAAGTTCCCTCTGACTCGGCACTCCTTCTCCAGCCCACATCTGTCGCCCATGCTGTACCTCCACCCATGTATCCAAGGCCTCCCACCTGAGTCAGCGCACCGAGCCAGTTCCAGTATATACACAGAAATATTTTAAAAAGTTAAACATCAGAGTGAGATTTGTGGCTAAAGGGAGCCTTCCTAGAGACAATAAGCTGATACCTCCAGACTACAAATTAAATAGGGGTGACACCACAATGTCAGGATGCAGATGCTTCAGGGAGGACAAGAATGGAAAGCCAAAGGGAAGTGCTCACCTAGTATGAGAAGAGAAGGAATTATGGAATGAGGATTTCCCCACGTGTTCCCAGATTTGCCCAGGAGAGGGAGGCCACTGGTGGATGGCAGGCGGACCACAGAATTGGAGAAGGCAGAATCTGGAGGACTGGAATAACACTATGTCCATCATTCCTAAGCCTGTAGAAAATAAGGTTATCTGTTCAAAAAATGTTTTGTTTAATTCAGAACAAAATGAATAACTGTGTTTACTTTTCTTTTTTTTTTTTTTAATCCTCACCCGGGGACATTTTTCCATTTTTTGTTCAGATCCAATGGGAGGGAGAGAGAAGAAGAAAGAGAGAGAGAGAGAAACATCGACGTGAAAGGGATACATTGAGTGGCTGCCACTCGCACGACCAACCTAGGCTGGGGACAAACTGCAGCTGAGATTCGTGCCCTTAGCGGGAACTGAACCGGGGTCTCTCTGGACCACAGGCCGTCGCTCTAACCGCTGAGCCAAACCGGCCAAGGCTGTGTTTACTTTTCTACATTCAATTCTAATTTTTTTAAATCTGTGACTACATTTTCCAGGGTTTGTCATAGTATATATTCAATTTTTTTTTTTTTCACTTAACCAAACTTTTGTACAACATTACTATGTGTTCATAACAATCATTTATGATGCTACATAACTATTTAAAGAGGTACATGCAACTAAATTTTAAAGTCACTCATTTGTTTTGTTTGAAGGAATTCCAGAATATTTTCGCTCCCCTAATTAATTTCACAATCAACATATTCTTGAAATTAGACATTGGCACCTTTAAAATTGGTATCTTAAGATATGTTCCAAGGCTATAGGCATTCATAAAGTTTACATCATATTACTGTATTGATTTGATCAGAATTTCCTAATTTACAATGCCATCAACTATATATGGTTTAAATTAGTCCATTACTTTAATTTTGAGTAGAAATAAAATGCTGCCCTCAATATTTTAAAATTTTTATGTATTCTATACAAATATATATTTTTTAAAAGCTTAGAAAAAGACCTCTCCTCTTTTTTCCAAAATGCATGTTTCTACTTTAATAGAACTAGTATTTAATCAGATTTCTTGTTGGCTAGATATATTAGGCTAAATATTAAAAAGTTCCTAAGAAAATGCTTTTTTTTTCATATGCTACTGTTATCCCAAGAAAATATAAGGGCCTCCTATGTGTGCTCTTGCTTGATCAAATATGAAACATTTGAAGGTTTGTGAAATGGTGTTTGGATTGACATAAATCATAAAGGCTGTGGCTAGTCTAAAATACTGACAGCTCACAGATTATCAGTTGAACTCAGAAAACTTATCAAGCTTCTTTTGTTCCTTTGTCTTCTGATATTAAAACACAAATCCTCATCGTTGTTAAGACAGCACTTTTAGCACTCATTCCCATGTTTCAGCAAGACATTACAACAAAAAGTCAGATTCCATCGGGCACAAGCTGTGCGGGAAAAGTAACATCTGATATGGTGGGAAAAAAGAACTAGGAGGAGAGGAGCTCTTTAACAGCCAATGTGGGGAGTGGAGGGAGGACTGGCCGGACCCCAGTGTGGATTCCAGGACAGATGGCCTCCAATGGCAGCACTGTGGAGAAAGCTCAGATTTCGGGACGGCCTGGGGCAGACAGCATGAGGTCTGAATAGAGGACGTTTCTTTCCCACTCCACGTGGTCCCCAGAGGCATTGTGAATGTGCTTATGGAAAGGGGGTGACCTCAGCCCCTGGGGTTCCAGAAGATGAGGCTCTAGGTCAGCTCTGGCGAGGATCGTGAACAGAACGGAATAGGATGATGATGTAAAGCTCTATTTCATTGTCTGGTTCTAGGATGTCTAGATAAACGGGCCCCAGAGATCTCCTGGAAATGTAGGTTCTTAAGCATCTTTTACAGAACAGGTTTCTGGGAGAACTTTGCCCAATTAGCGTCAAGTCACGCCACCCTGTGCGATATCATTCCGCGCCCTTCCCTTGCTTTCGGTTCCGTCTCTGCAGTAGTTGGACAATCATAGGGCCTCGGATACAAACCTGTAAAGCTCCTTGAAGATGATGCCTTCTAACCCCTCATTCAGCAGATAAAGAAACAATGCAATAAAATGACTTATGTCAGGTGCCCAGGTAGTTAATAGCACCTAGTAAAAACAGAACAATTATAAAATGTGACGTTTATAAAAGCTAAACTAGGTATAATTTCTAAGCACTGCCAATTGTGCTTGCCTAATAACTACCCAGGATAATAATATTTACATTTCTCTAAATATGCATAACACAAACTTGTAAAAGGTGTATCTGGTACACTCTGCTCTTTGCTTAAGTTTCCTGGTTCACCATATTAGGCATAGCTGCCTAAGGATTTATGCTTATAACATTAAAAACCTTGAGAAAATATAGAGGACATTTGTGGATAGATGAGAGGAAGACGGGAAGAGAAAGGCAGCTAATAGATAGGAGAGAGCAAAACGATATAGTTAGGAACAAACTTATTTAAAAGGTCACGTGTGAACAGGTCAGTGTAGGGAGAGATTCCACACAATTAAAGCCCATAGGAGACAGACGGATGACATAAACCTGTGAAATGGGAGAATTATAAGGCAGTTGTAGGGCCTAGACACACCAGCGAGCACACTAATATTAAAACTTGCCCTGGCTGGTTTGGCTCAGCGGTTGGAGTGTCGGCCTGCGGTACAAAGAGACCCGGGTTCGGTTCCCGCTAAGGGCACGTACCTCGGTTGCAGTTTGTCCCCGGCCCTGGTTGGTCGTGCGGGTGGCAGCCACTCGATGTGTCCCTTCACGTCGATGTTTCTCTCTCTCTCTCTCTCTCTCTCTCTCTCTCTCTCTCTCTCTCTCTTCCTCTCCCTCCCTCCCGCTCTATCTGAACAAAGGATGGAAAAATGTCCTCGGGTGAGGATAAAAAAAAACAAAAACAAAATTTAAAACACTATACCCAACCACATGTCTGTCCTGGGTACCAGTACCATACTCCTGTATATACCACCAAATAGACAAGTTCTCAATCCCTGATGGAAGGCTTAAGCATTAAGGTCTTAGACTAGTGAATCATTCATTTATTTAATAAACATTTATTATGTATCTACTATGAACTATTAACAGAAGGTCAGCAGAAGCAACTCAACACCAACATAAGTCCCCAATTTGGAGTGCAGTAAAGGAGAAACTTTATTCACTGAGAACCGATCCCCCACCCCCACCCCCCAAAAAACCATAATTGTAAAAAAGCACAGCTGTGAGATCCTGGGGAGTGGAGGCCCAATGTTTCAGCCCGTGTTGCAGTTTGGTTCTGTCCCCGTGAGACAGCTTCTGTGTTATAGGCGCGGCCACAAAGAGCAGTCTTCTGTAGAAACCAACAGTGCACGCCTGTTGGGGCAGAATTAAAGCTGGCTGATATGAAGAAGAGAGCCTGCCAACTGTCCTCGACTGGTCCATTTCCTTGTAGACGAAAACACTAAAGCCTCACAGTTTAATTGGTCAGTTAGGAGTGGCTCTGGTGTCAGTGAAGATGCAAATAAGGAATGGCTGCCAGGCCCCAGTTAGGGAGCATATCTTTGGCCGACTGGTTGATTTATAAGCCGAAGAACTCCTTCACTGAGTCAGCTCAAATGGCAGTAACACATTCAGGAGGCTGACAGCTCAGTGCAGCTTTTCCCTGAAGCACAGAGAGCCTAAGAGGTACATGGTTAGCAATGCCTACAAGTCTGTTTATAAATCTGAGCCCAATCAGCCACCAAGAGCCCTTCTTAACAGGCACATTCACTCCTGGTGTCAACAGAACTAACTACTGTATTAGGTATTAAGAACCTCAAGAAGGAATATGCCTGTCGAGAACTTCTAATAATTAACTGAGATCAAATCCATAACCAGAGTGTAGCAGCAATCGCTGGCAGAGACCTCTCACGCTGCACCTCAGGAGATAACCAAACGCTGTTGCTAGCCCCCTTCGTTGAGTTCCTGTGAGGAGAGTGGACCCTTACAAAGGAGCTCCTGGAGTTATAATTTGACCAATGGGCTGAGACCTGCCCCATCCAACCAGAACTGCACAGATATATTTATTTGCACCTTTACTGACTAATCAGAATGGCTCCCTAACGACCAATCGGGACAGGCTGTTTGGACCAATCTAACGGCAAATTTGGATTCCTAGTGCACATACAAGTGGACTAATCAGGGACCAGTGCAGGCATTTGAAAACCATGACAGAGTGAAGCCACTAACGTTGAAGCCAAGGTGGCGAGGGGACGACTGTACATAAGGAATCCTATTTCGCGGGAATCATTTACCACGGTAGAGCCTGGAACTGATTAACCACGATAAATGAGGGCTGACTATATAAGTTGACCTCCCCATTGTCTTGGGAGAGCATAGGTCAGTTTCCATTGGTTTTGTAAACTGGGGACCTTTTATGCACCTCGGACTGGTATTGTTATTAGCCAACTCTGGTTTGATAATATAGGTTGGACATGGAACTTTTTTTTTACAATAAATCTGTATAGTTAAAGCCTATTTGTTCATATCTAACTCATAATAAAGACTGCCAGCAATCATGCCAGCAATAACTATTTACTGAGATTTAAAAATATTTCAAGGCAGTTGGAGCTAGCACAAGCTAGGAAACAACTTCTTTCCCAGGACTGAATCCCCATCAAAATTCACTTGACTCTCAGTCTCCTCCCCATTTGAAATTTCTCACTGAGCCAATTCTTGGTCTTCTCTCACACATGGGTTATTCTCTGGGAAGAGCTCACCAGATCTGATGGTTTCTACACCTACCATGTGCCCCAGGATCAAGGCTCAGATTATTAATCAACATGTCAGTGGCTAGAAGATTCCACTATTTTGATTTTCCTGCTTTTTTGTGCGGTGGGCAGAAATACCTGCAGCTTTCCCTCATCCCCATAGCAGCAGAAACTGTCCTACACACCAGCAGGACCTGGACCTCCTGGCCTCTGTCTGAGGCACCCTGCTGATCACCCAGACTTCCGGGAATCAGAACTCTGAATCAACTGAAGGGGTTGAAGAGGGCAAAGCTCAGACTGACCAGCAGTGGCATTTTTAGTCTTCACATCCATTTTCTCAATGAAGGTTTATTATGGATCTACCAATATCCCAGCACTGTTCTAGTTACAAGGAAATAGCGGTGAAGACCATGGGACATAATTCTGCCCTATGGTGTTACATTATTTCTCTATGTTAATTAAGCCAAGAAGGAGAGGGCTCCTTTCTCACTCATTCCGGGGGCGGCAGGAACAAGGGAGAATAGGGATAAACCTGGAAATAGGGCCGCAGCGTGTCCGGGAAAAGGGCCTTGGGGAAGGTGAAGATGTGGGAGCCCGTGGTCATGTTGTAGAAGGAAACAATTCCAACCTCACAGTCCAGGAAAACCCCCACGACCAGGGGCTGCTCCTTCAGATGTAGGGGAGTTCGGGGCCAGCTCAGTGCCACGTAGCCGTCCTTGGTGCAGAGCCGGATGGCCCAGAAGCCGGCCTCGGGCCTCTGCACTGTGCCGGTGTGCCTCTGCACACTTTCCGCACAGACACCCACATCCCACCCGCTCCCTTCTCCCACATCCACCTCGAAGTAATATCGCCCTGAGGTGAAGCCCTCACGGCCCAGGATACAGGGGGAGACAGTGAAACTCCCGGGAGAAGTGCCCTGAGTGTCCTGGGGGTACCCCCGAGTCACTTGTCTCTGATCATCAGACAGAATTAGTTCGTGGTGAGCCGTGTCTGGATCCAGAGTCACGCTGACTAAGGAAGGAAAAAAAAAGACACATTTTTTTGTTGCCAAGAACACAGTTCATTTTAAATAAAACCTGCCTGTGCTCGGGTGTGTGCCTTGTTTCGGACTAGCTATGTGAGCTTAGGGTTGTAAAATATAAAGTAGAAATCATCGCATTTGTCCCCCCAGTGCAGAGGACAGAATTGAGCTAATGTACCCTCAGTGCTTGGTAAAATGCCTTCACATACCTTGATAACTCCTTAACAGTTTCTTCAAGTCAAAGTAAAGCTTTGAAACATCGCACACGGTACAGATCTCCAAAGACAGGGCCTCCGGTGTCTCCAGCCCCACAGCCTCACTCCTGGGGACGCAGAGGCCAAGGCTTCTTAGTGCACCCCGTCAGTTTGGCATCCCTATCCCCCCTCTTCATTCTGTCAACACTCACCTTCTTAAGGCACCCTTCACGTCCTACAGGCAAACAGAGACAGAGGTGAGTGGGGGACACCAGTGTTGATAGGGCTGCTGTCTATCAGTGCTCCCTCCCGGGAAGTACAGAGAGTGGCCCAGCCTTGGACATCAGTGGACACCTCGTGCAACGATTCCCACCCCAACCTCTGGGATAGTGAACACGGCAGGATGTTTCTCAGCCTCTGAGTCTGTTACCTTCCCTGCTGGCTGCTGGGGGGAGGGCTGGAGCTTCCCCCATGCTCCCTCTGGCCAGACTGGCCTTCACTGACCTAACTTCCCTCAGAGTAAACCCTGGAAGAGACCACTTGTCACTAAAGCTCTCAGCAGCGGATGTGTGCATGGCACTGAGAATGGACACTGAGGTGGTGGCCGCAGGTGTCCCATGGGCATTGAGTAGCCATGCGACATTGTCCACCTGATAGTGTGACCTCCAGTTCTACTAGCGGGGACTGGAATGAGTGGCTGCAGGTGTGTTTCAGCCTCCTGTGGCTGAAAAAGGCTGCCCATGTGTCTGCACCATCAGGGAAAGTCATCACCGGAGTTGGCGGCCCCACCTGGTCACCTGGATGAGTTTTCAGAAGACTGCCTGATAGGCAGGATTCCGTGCTCATGGGGCAGAGGCAAATGGTCTCAGAACTCACCCCATGAGCCTGTTCCATCAAGGAACCCACCACATCCACCAGCGGGGAGATATTTTCTAATTCACACAAAGCTGCCCAGTAGACATCACCTTGCAGATACTAACATGTATCTAAAAGAAATATGCCTTTAAATTCCCCACACTAATGTGCCACCTCTGAACAAGGCCGGAGGTCCTTGCCTGTTATGCTTCCACGCCTTCCTCCAAGCAACTCAGAGTCAGACACTTTTCCACCCTCCAAGGGCACTGCCTCACCTGCAGCAGCCTCTGAGCAGAGCCCTGACACCTCTCTTCCAGCTCCAGGATGTGGCTCGAGAGTTCACTGCTCTTCTGCCCCAGTCTGGCCTCGCTGTCCCTCAGTCTTTGCAGAGTCTGCTCTTTCTCTCTCTCTAGTCTCCACAGGTAAGATTTCTCCTCTTCCCGCAGGAACCTCTGCAGAGTCTTGAAGTCAGACTGGATTTTCTGTCTCGTAACATTTATCTTCTCCTAGAGTCAAGAAAAGGTGCTCAGATGAGTCGATAAACAAAATGTAGCCTACAGACATCATGGAATACTATGCAGTCTTGAAGAGGAGTGAAGTTCTGACCCAGGCAACAACATGGATGAACCATGAAGACACTGTGTTCAGTTAAACAAGACAGTTACAGAAGGACAAACACTGTATGATCCACTTATAGGCGAGACCTAGAATAGTCAAATTCATAGAGACAGAAAGTAGAATACTGGTTGCAGGGTTGAGGGAAGGGGGATAGGGAGACAGTGTTTAATGGGGACAGAGTTCAAGTTTTTTTTTTTAAGTTATTTTATATGTTTGTTTTGTTTTTTTTATCCTCACCTGAGGACATTTTTCTATTTTTTGTTCAGATACAGTGGGAGGGAGAAGGAGGGAGAGAGAGGAAGAGAGACAGAGAGAAAGAGAGAAACATCGACATGAAAGGGACACATTGAGTGGCTGTCCATCTGGGGCCGGGGACAAATTGCAACCAAGGTACATGCCCTTAGCAGGAACCGAACCCGAGTCTCTCTGGACCGCAGGCTGATGCTCTAACCACTGAGCAAAACCGGCCAGGGCTAGTTTATATGTTTTTATTGATTTTTTTTTCAGAAAGAGAAGAAGGGAGAGAGAAACATTGATGCAAGAGCAAAACATTGATTGGCTGCCTCCTGCACACCCCCTACTGAGGATTGAGCCTGCAACCCAGGGTTGTGCCCTGACCAGGAATTGAACCGGGACCTCTTAGTCCGAGGGACAATGCTTAATCCACTGAGCCACACCAGCCGGGCCAGAGTTCCAGTTTTGCAAGATGAAAAGTTCTGGAGGTGGGTTGTGGTGATAGTTGTACAATATAAAAGTCTTAAGCCACTGAACTGCACACTTAAAAAGGTGTTATGTTATTTATATTTTTAATGCATAAGCACATACAAAAGAAAGTTTGCTCAAGTGCCATGACGTTATTTGCCCATGAGTCATTGAGCTGGGAGGGTGTCCCCAGGACCTACTACAGAGCAGTGCCCTGCATTGTCACATAGGACAGTCACCTGATCCATTTCCTATTCTTCAGCCAAGATGCAGGATGGGGGTGCTCAATAATTTAATCATGGTACCTGGGCCAAGTTCAAACACTACCAGTTTCAACAGCGATTTTCAACCTTTTTCATCTCATGGCATACATAATTACTAAAATTCTGAGGAACATCAAAAATTATATTTTTTGCCAACCTGACAAAAAAGCATAGCTATAATTTTGATTGATTTAATAATAGAATTACCTACCCTTTTTTGCCCCAAAGTGACTTTTTATTTTTTATTTTTTTATTTTTATTGTTTTTAATCCTCACCCAAGGACATTTTTCCATTTTTTGTTCAGGTAGAGTGGGGGGGAGAGAGAGGAACAGAGAGAGAGAGAGATACATCAATGTGAAAGGGACACATCGAGTGGCTGCCACCCACACAGCCGACCAGGGCCGGGGACAAACTAAAACCGAGGTACGTGCCCTTAGCGGGAACCGAACCCGGGTCTCTCCGGACCACAGGCTGATGCTCTAACCGCTGAGCCAAACCGGCCAGGGCCCAAAGTGACTTTTTAGAAAAATCAGTTGCCTATACTTGTATATAAGGATTTCTGGTACCAAGAATTAAGCAATCAGATGCAACCTTAATATGCAACATGACCAATAAGATGCAATTCTAGCCTTGGCCGGTGTGACTCAGTAGGCTGAGCATCGTCCCATGCACTGAAAGGTCACTGCTTCGATTCCTAGTCAGGGCACATGCTTGGGTTGCAGGCTCGATACCCAGTAGGGGGCATGCAGGGAGCAGCCAACTGGTTCTCTCTCACATTGATGTTTCTAGCTCTCTTAAAAAAAATCAATAAAATCCTATTTAAAAAAAAAAGATGTGTTGGCTATTGAAATTTTTTATTGCACAATATAAGGGGAAAGAGGTCAGTGCCCCTGGCTAAATAGTCAGGGATTACATGTTTTAAAATTTTTTACAGCACACTGGTTGAAAATAACTGAGTTACAAAGATAAAACGAGTTTTTATTAGGGATGTAAGAAGGATTTTGAGTCTGAGGCAATTTCATGGAGCAGAAGCTTGTGATGAACACCACACCAAGACTGGACTCTAACCAAACCAGTAGAAGAGTCCGTGATGCTGTCAGCAGGGGGAGGTCTGGGTGGCAGGCTCTCATAGTTAACTGAGAAGTATTCACCTGCTAGGCCAGGGTCCACATAATCATCCTTTTATGTAAGACTGACCACAACCAAATGATGAGTCCTGTGGACTCGGCTTTCCTTTGGAAGATACAGAATTGCAATTGCCATTGGTGGTTTCTCTATCCATGCAGTGGGTGTTTCAATGAGAGTGATGTTAAGGCAGAAGGGCCACTATGCTGTTTCCATATATATCAAGATCCTCCCCAGTACCAAGACCCCAGAACGGAGGGAAGTCGGTTCTCGGTAGAGCCTTCTGAGAGTTCAAGTTTAGCATTCACACAGAGCATCAGGGCAGAGTTTGGAAGGGACCGCTGAAAAAGGCAAAAGGGCTCAGGTCCTACGAGGTTGGACCCCAAGCTGGTATCTTACATAAATCTGACTGTAAAGGAACGCGTCTCTGACCACGGGGGCTGGGCCGCCAGGAATCCTCCATACCAACCAAAAAGACTTCCTTGATCCAACCTGGGCATGAGGACCAGGGATCTCAGCCTGAGTGATTCTGTCCTCTGGGTTCTGCACCCTGCACTGTAGGAAATGCAGCAAGGTAATGAATGAGGCCCACAAACCAGGAAGGTACTCGGAGATATTGAAAGTTGAAAAGCCAGTGAGGGATGGCTCTCGGGAGCACATGGATTGTGCTTTCCCCGATGAGTGCTGGAACCCTGGCCAACTCCTACAGAAAGCTGAAGGGATAGGAGGTACATTCTCATTGATGTAGACAACCAAGGGCATAAGAACAAATGAATGCTTTCTTCTGGGGATTTCACCTACTTGGTCTGGCGTACTGAGACCATCACTGTGCTTTCCCAGTGCTCCTCTGCCTGCGCTCTAGGACAGGAAAGAGCCTGAGATCAGGAGAGCCCCATTCTTACATTCCACTCAGTCATCTGCTTCGTCAGGAGCACCTTCTGGTTCGTGCATTCCTCTTCCAGTTGCCTCAGTTTCGTCAGGACTTTCTGGAGCTCTTCCTGGAGGAAAAATTGAGTGAAGAAAGTATTCAATTAGGCAACTTCATACCACCAAGGCGGGAGGGGGGTCCCAGGCCTCCAAGATTCGAAGAATGATACCGAATCTGGGTGGAGTCCTCACTCTCCGCCAGGAAGCTGAGGGCTGTAAGGGCCGTAACACATTTGATCCCCTTGACAACCCTGAGCAGTTGGTAGGATTTTAAACATCACTTCTGTGCTCTGGAACCGGTGATAACTGGTGGCGGTAGAGCTGTGACTCGAACATCATCCGCCGACCCGAGCCGGATCTCTGTCCACCACTGCACTCTTGCCAGGAAACATGACCCACAGGAAGATAATAATCATGTAAAAGATTTTATGAAGGGATGGGCGGAACCAAACGTAGGCAGGGCTTAGGTGCAACGTTGTTCACGGTGTGTGCTCTGATGAGTCAGGGGGAAGGAGCAGGACACCCCTGGAAACCGCTGATGGAGGAGGGAGCCACGGCATCTGCGGAGAGTGGTACTATGGGGCTGATTCAAAGTGATTTAGACCCGACTGGTGTGGCTCAGTGGTTGAGCGTCAACCCATGCACCAGGAGGTCACAGGTTCGACTCCCGGTCAGGGCACATGCCTGCGTTGTAGGCCCGATCCCCCAGTGGGGGGGCCTGCAGGAGGCGGCCCATCCATGTTCTCTCTCATCAATATTTCTCTCTCTCTCTCTCTCTCTCTCTCTCTCTCATATCAATTAAGAAAAAGAAAAAAATTTTAAAAATGATTTAATATCCATATCAAGCTGTTTGGTTATTTTTCAACACCGTGTCTCACATTTTCACAGAGAGCGGTTTTAAGCCGAACCAAACTTCCAGTGTGGTCAGCGCTGCCAGAAATGACTCGTCTCTGACCCGAACTCTTGGCCAAGGGCTCTGGACGCCTGTCAGCAAGGGACTATCAGCCTGCTCGGCATCTGCGCTGAGCTTTCCATACATCCACATCCTTAAAGCTTGTCCAGTCCCGGCTGTGGGGAGGGGAGGGAGGGAGAGACCCATGCACAAGACATTAGACAGCTTGCTCAGAGCTACTCATAGGAAGTGGCAGAACCGGCTTCAGGCCAAGCAGGGTGACTTCTCATCACGGTCACCCTGAGCTGCTCCTCCCCGGCCACTGGTGGGAAAGGAATTCCAGGGGGAGCAGCCCCCGTCACACGCATGACCACTGCACGGGGTGGAAGTGCTGCGGGGCAGCAGTGAGGACACGTCCTGGCAGAAGACCCAGAGACTGGATACAAGACCACTCCACCATCTCGGGGAGGGAACAAAGAGCCCCGCCCTGCGGTGGTTTTCTGCAGCTCCAGGCAGGGCAGAGGAGTAACTGCCCAGGCCTCCGCCCCTACCACGAAATCAACTTCCCTGAGGGGTTTGGAATAAGAAATTTAGGATCTGTGCAAACCCCTCCCACTGTGCTATCCTCCAAGACAAACCGTTTCTGAATCCGGCAGCTGCCCTTCCTGCATCTCGCTTACAATATGGACCTTCTCCCTCTAGCAGGAATGATCTGAATTTCAGTGCCCGATGCTCTGTTCAATGTCAGCCTGATCCTTCTCTCCGCAAGAGGTCAGGACACGCTGTGCTGGGACCTAGACTGAGCTGATACAAAGACTCTGGGCCATTGCCTACCTTTCTCTACAGCCTCGGCCCCTGGCTGTGCGTTTGCCACGCGGTCCCCGCACCTGGAGTGCCCTCTCTTTTCTCCACATTTCTACATATGGTCACTTTTTAGGTGTCTGTCAGGACTCTCTTCTGGGAAGTTTCCCCAGATACCACCCGCACCCTGCCGTACTCTCCCTCCCAAACCAGGGGGTGCCAGGCAGCCTCTTCCAGTGATTTGTCTTCCCTGCAGGGCACCCCAAAGATGGCACCTTTGTCCCTGAACTTCAGACTCTACCACGTGGCATTGCACACTGCGGTGTCTCATTACATACAGGAGTGAGGATGCGCAGGTGTGGGTTTGAGCACATGGGATTCTAGAACTGAGATAAGTTCAGCACGACAATCGGGAATAGGGACGAGAATCTGACCCCCGCCCCCACTGGAGGTCAGGATGGACAGTAAGGACTTGATTCAGGGAGGATGCATTCTAAACCATTTTTCAGAAGAACAGCCTGAGAAAAGCTATAATTCATGGCCATTGCCTTGGGCTCCAGGCTGGAGGATCGGAGGTCTCAGGGAGCACAGGAGAGCAGGCACTCACCTTGTAGCCGTGACAGGCGTCTTCCGCCAGCACCGTGGCGTGCCCTTTGTGCCGCGGGGCCCGCTCGCAGCGCCAGCAGATGAGCTGGCCCTCGTCTTCACAGAACAGGTGCAGTTGCTCTCCGTGTTCCTCACAGGACATTTCCTGGTCCAGCTCCTTGATGGCTTCAATGAGGCTGCCCAGCTGCTTGTTGGGCCGCAGGCTGGATCTATGGAATGGAGCCCGGCACTGGGGACAGGAGAACATCTCTGGCATTGGCCGCATGAAGGGCAGGTTGGGCAGGTTGCCCAGGAAACGCAGGATGCATGCTTGGCAGTAGCTGTGTCCACAGCTGATGCTCATGGGCTCAGTCATCAGGTTCAGGCAGATGGAGCAGGTGGCCTCCTCTCTCACCTTCTTGCTGGTTGTGGCTGAGGCCATGCCTCCTCCCGACAGCTCCAATCCTGGGTCCAGAAATTTCCCACAGTGACGGAACCACGCCTCACCTGTGCGGCCCCCTTGAGATCCTCTCTAGAGGGAAGGAAGGGTTTGAAACCTAGAAGATGCAAAAATGTAGCTGTGTTGTGGTAGCGACCATCACGTGTGGCCACTTGAATGAACATCTGTTAAAACAAAATAGGATTTAAAAGTTAGGTTTTCAGTCTCACTGGCCAGATTTCAGTTGCGTCATAGCCACAGGTGCCCCATGAAGCCCAGACAGAGGACATTCCATCACAGCTGAAGGGTTCGCTGGCCGGAGTGCTGGGAGAGCAAGGAGGCCCTCACAACCAGCAGCTAGAGGCAGGAACTAACTCAGCAAGGGCCTGGGAAACTCCTCGAAGGAACATCAGGGATAATCAGAGCCACGAATTTCAGGATTGTTTGCAACACTTAGGTCATTGCTAGTTTATGAAGGATTTCACTAAGACAGTCCAGTGGACCCCACTGGAATCCCCCTCATGCCCACTGGTCCTACCCCACTCCCACCCCACAGAGAACAAAGGCCCCAGGTCACCAATCTCAGTGGACAACCAGGGCGACATGGAAGTAAACAAGGCCACCAGGAGAACCAGTTTGTCCTTTTTTCCCCCCTCACCCAAGGACATCTTCAGATAGAGCAGGAGGGAGAGAGGGAGGAAGGGAGAGAGAGAAAAACAGTGATGTGAGAAAGACACATCGACTGGTTGCCACCCACACAACCCCAACCAGGGCTGGGGACAAACTGCAACTGAAGTACGTGCCCTTAGTGGGAACCGAACCCGGGTCTCTCCGGTCCAGGGGCTGATGCTCTAACCACTGAGCAAAACTGGCTAGGGCACCAGTTTGTCCTTTTGAGGCCCTCCCTGGCCTGTATGGAAGGATTGAAAAGAACTGGGCCAAGAAGGGGTTGGCCCTGCAAGACGAGGCAGGTGACGTCCCTCCTCAAGGCCAGGACTTGTCTTCCAGGAGAAGTTCAAGGCGAGTGGAACCCAGGACGGACAGAACAGGGGAAAGCAGATGGGGAAGGCAAGACCCCAGATGTCCACCAGTGAGAACCCAGCAACCAGACAGCAGAGGAAGGGCCCTTGGCTCACAGCTGCAGCTGCTGGGGACCCAGCCTGCTCTCCTGGGAGGGGAGGGAGTCGGAAGGCAGTTTACAGAGTGACCTTCCTTTGAACTGACAATAGCAGAAATAAAAACAGGAATTCGCTGAAGTTACTACTGGACAGACGACTTCCCTCTAATACCCAGGACAGCCTCTGGGAGCCCCAGAGAATTTCTTCACACTTCCCTTCCTGGTCAGTTGACTCCCCTGGGACACATTAGGGTCCTCCACGGCTGGGGCTCTGTGTCCCCGGAACAGGACCTGCACCCTGGAGGTCCCAGGGTCCCTTCTGGCCTCACTCCCTTCACCCAGGATCTTCTGAGGTTTGTTCAGTGTGGAGCTCGGTGAAAGCGAAAGCAGCCGCAGGGCGGGCTACAAGGCAGGGCCTGGCCTTTCAGAGTTCCAGAGGCCTTAGTATAAGGAACGTACCCCTGGTCTGCTATCCCCCCACCCCGCTCCTGTCCACACCTCGGGTATCACGTCCCTCCCTGGGATCCCCAGCCTGGGCCCTCTCCACTACCTGGGCCACCACAGACAGTCGCGAACTTGCCCTCTGAGCTGCACGTCCTCAGTCCGCCGGGCAGGATGTTAACAGAAGCTGTGGAGCTGTGGGAGGCGGGGCCCTGCAAGGTTTGGGGCGGAAACTAGGAAATTGCCCTAATCCTTTGCACCGGCTGGCCCTGAAAGGGGTGGGAGTGTTAGAAGAATGTCCTTTTACAGCAATGAAAACGGGACGCGTGAGCAACCCGGCGAACTGGTTTGTGGCCCAGCACAGAGCGCCTGAAGTCAGCGGCCACACTGCTCACAGGTTCTGCCCTGAGCTCTTTCTGCCTTTGCCACCCACCCCCTTGGGATCCATCAGCCTTCTCAGCGGATGTTGTTGTTGTTGTTGTTGTTGCTGCTATTTTTAGGTCACTTATTCTTTCATAACTGCTCTGAAGAGGGTGGTAAAGAAAGGCTGGTGACAGCAGTGTGCTCCTCCGTCCTGTTTCCGGGTCTCATTCTCCTCAGGGTCGCTCTGCAGGGTTCATACATTTGTCGGCAGTTACAATGGTCAGGACAGCAAACAGGCCACGCACGACCCAGCTGAGAGCTGGGAGCCATGTGACACCCCAGGGTCTGTGCCCCTTGGACAAAACCGTGGAGTCGACTTAGAGCAAAAGGACTGTCCCACCCAATCTACACTTACTACTTAGTGGGGGAAAAAACAGAGGACCACCCCAAATAAGACTGCCACAGACATAGCTGTAGGGGCTTTAACACTGGGTTTGTTTGGGAGATGCACTCGGCAGGGCTTCAGGGCTGGGAGCAGGCAGGAGTTACACCTGCACTCTGAGAGCTGCCTGGGACCAACTCTGGGCCATTCCCTTGGCAGGACAGGTGTGGACCCCTGTGCTCGGGCAGCATGAGGGAGCCTAGGGGGTCGGCCCAGCCACAGTTCCGCTGGCCCAGCAGCACAGGCTGTAGCAAGATCTCGGAGCCGGTTCCTCTCTTAGCACCAGAAACAGGAGCCCCTCCCCAGCCCTGTGCCCTGCCCGCTACTTACAGAGCACCCAGTCCGCCATCTAGTGGCGTCTGTCAATCACCTTTCCCATGTGAGACGGGGCCATTTTCCTGATTCTTCACTAACTCAGTACTTTTGGTTTGTACCCTGGTAGTTTTAAAAGAGCTCATGAGACCCGAGGTCTTGTCTAAATACTATTGTGAACAGATATTTTTTCCTTAGCAGACACTCAAGTCCGTAAGATCTGGCTGTGTGTTCTCATCGGCTTCCTGTGGGTCCGTTCAGTTTCCAGGGCTTTTCAGATTTGTCTCCCAAAGTGTGTCACCCAGTGGTCAGTCAGGGTCCTTGGTGCGGTGTAGCCATAGTTCACTGCCCAACTCTGTGGCATGCTGCTGAAGGTCAGAGCCATGCGGCCGCACTGGGGGCTGAGCCCAGTGCATCAACAGCCCCATGGGGCTGCTTTCCCAAGCTCCTCCTTCTGTGGGTCTCCCTAGCACTTCCCATTTCCTGGGGCTCCCTTTTGAGAGTCCCTTTGGCCAGAAAGCTGGGGCTTCATTTACTCTGTTGCATTCTTCCTATGGCTACAGAGAGAGAAGAAACAGGCATCAACCACCCACAGAGACCACAGTTCCGCTGATAGAGAGGAAGGTCACCTCACTTAGAGTTTTGGCTATGGGATTGCTCGAAGACTGAGGTGGGAGAGAATGCAGGAAAGAGCAAATACATGGCTTCACCACCAGCCCACTCTTCCTGAGCCTTCCAAGTTCCCTTGCCCAGTCCTGGAGCCAGGACCAGAGGCAGCTTTGGGGTCTGTCTTGGTGACCCTGTGCCCACTGTGGGTGGTAAGAGGCCTGGAGCCCAGGTCAGGGGTTACTGAAAAAAAAATGACAACCCACTGCCAGCTCACTGGTTTCAGATCCTGTCCTTCTCCCCTCTCTGCCTGTGACTCTTTGCACTCTGGAGTCGTGACCAGCTGCTCTCTGCATCATTTCTGTGGCTCACAGCTGAAGGCGGGAGGGCAGCAGGCTAGGCCTGTCCATCTTACCCAGAGCCGAAACTCTGAGGGTAGTTTCAAGGCAGAGGTTAGTGACCCGGGTTTGGTTCCCGCTAAGGGCATGTGCGATGGTTGTGGTTTGTCCCTGGCCCTGGTTGGTCATTCGGGTGGCAGCCACTCGGTGTGTCTCTCTCATGTCGATGTTGTTTCTCTCTCTCTCTCTCTCTCTCTCTCTCTCTCTCTCTCTCTCTCTCCTACTCTATCTGAACAAAACATGGAAAAATGTCCTTGGGTGAGGACAAAAAAAAAAAAGAAAAAAACAAAGCAGAGGTTAGCGAGTAAGGTATCCATTACTTTTGTAAACACAGACAAAATTAATAATCTAGTTTTATTTATTTATTATTATTTTTCTTTATACTCACCCGAGTACATTTTTGCATTTATCTTCAGATGGAGTGAGAGGGAGAGAGGGAGAAAGAGAGAGAGAGAAACATCGATGTGAGAAAGACACATCAAGTGGCTGCCACCCAACCGGGGCCGGGGACAAACTGCAACCGAGGTATGTGTCCTTAGCGGGAACTGAACCCTGGGCTCTCTGGTCCGCGGGCCAACGCTCTAACCGCTGAGCAAAACTGGCCAGGGCTCTAGTTTTATTTTTAAAAAGATTTTGGGGAGATTCCAAAATGGCAGCAGAGTGAATGGAAGCGACACAGACCATCTCCCAGGACCAAACTGGAATTACAATGAAAATAAAGACAAATCATCAGGAAAAGGCAACAGAAAAGCAGCTTGAAGGACCACATAACCAGGGACACTGAACGCAATCCTGGTAGGCTTGCGAGGACACGAGAGGGGGGCTGGGAGCCCATGGTCGGCAGCGGCCTCAGCTGTGAGCAGGGCCCTCAGTTTACACTCCCAAGAGGCTCCACAGCGCAGAGCTGGGACAGAGGCTAAAACAGCCACAGCCACTCACCTTGGGCTCCAGCAGAGGGAGGGCACACTGGACTGGAACTGTGTGGGGACACTCCAGATTTGGAGGGCGCTCAGAGCTTTTGCAGAGTTGAGGCGACACAGGATGGTGGTCATCTTACTCCTTCCCGGGCTCTGGGGAGAGACTGCAGCCCCTCCCTCAGAGATTCCACCCCACCTGGTGGCCACTGAAATGCTAATCGAGGCCCATTAACAACCAGCATTTGCCCCACCCTCAGGAAATCCTCTTACACTGAGCACCTGAGGGAATTTTTCATTCAACTGAGAAGCCAAGGTTCTTCAGGTAACCCCTACTGATAGCCTCCAGGCAAAAAGCTACAGGATAATTGTACCATTCCTTGGGCTAGCAACTTTAACCAGAAAAGCAAGACTTGACAGTGGTGTGTAACGTGGGTCTTCCCTGGCTCATCCAAACCCAGGAGAGGGAGCCACAAACAGCAGAACACCAACACCCACAGGGAAAATTTGGCAGGGTCCAAAGCCCACTGTGATGGACAAAATGGTGAAACACAGAAACAAAAGCCAAATGAAAGAACAAGAGACCTCTACCAAAGAGGAGATAAATGAGGTGCAGTTAAGCAAGTTAACAGAACTAGAATTCAGAGCCATGATCTTGAGGAAGCTCAACAGTATGTGTAAGGATATGAGCACCATGAGTAAAGACATAGAAATGTTGAAAATCAACCAGTTGGGAATTAAAAACCACCAAGAAGAAATGAAGAATGACATAGCAGAAATAAAAAACACATTGGAAAGTCTAAATAACAGAGTAGCAGAAGCCGAGGACCGGATCAGTGAATTAGATGATAGGGTAGAAAAAAATCAACCAATCAGAAAACCAAAAGGAAAAAACAATTAAAAAACAGGAAGACAGCTTAAGAGAACTGTGGGACAACTGGAAACGTAATAACATTCGCATCATAGGAGTCCCCAAAGAAGAAGAAAATGAGCAAGGGTTAGAGAACATATTTGAAGAAATAGTGACAGAAAACTTTTCTAACTTGATGAAGGAAGAAGGCATTCAAGTTCAAGAAGCACAGAGAACCCCATGTAAGAAGAACCCAAACAGGCCCACACCAAGACACATAGTAATCAAAATGCCAAAAATTAAAGACAAAGGGAGAATCCTAAAAGCAGCAAGAGAGAAGCAACAGGTTACCTACAAAGGAAACCCATAAGGCTCTCTGCTGACTTCTCAACAGAAACATTACAGGCCAGAAGGGAATGGCATGAGGTAATCAAGGTCATGAAAAGCAAGGATCTGAATCTCTACCCAGCAAGGCTATCATTCAAAATAGAAGGTCAAATAAAGAGCTTCCCAGACAAAAAAAAAAGGCTAAAGGAATATATCAGCACCAAACCAGCACTGCAAGAAATGTTAAAAGGACTGCTGCAATTAGTAGGATAAATAGGAAGAAAAATATAACCACACTAAACAAAAATGGCAATAAATAAAGACATATCAATAATCACCTTAAAATATAAATGGATTGAATGCTTCCATAAAAAGACACAGAGTAGCTGATTGGATAAGAAAGCACGACTCATCATATGTTGTTTACAAGAGACCCACCTCACAACAAAAGACTCACGTAGATTGAAAGTGAAGAGATGGAAAAAAATCTTCCAAGGAAACGGAAAGGAAAAAAAATCTGTGGTAGCAATACTCATATATGATAAAGTAGATTTCAAAATGAAAACCATAACCAGAGACAAAGAAAGCCACTACATAATATTGAAAGGATCTATTCAACAGGAAGATATAACCTTGATAAACATATATATACCCAACATAGGAGCACCAAAATATATTAAAAATCTTTTGGAAGACTTCAAAAAAGAAATCGATAGCAATACAATCATAGCAGGGGACTTCAACACCCCACTGACATCACTGGATAGATCATCTAGACAAAAAAATTAGCAAGGAAACAGAGACTCTAAATAAAGCACTAGACCAAAAGGATTTAATGGATATCTACAGAGAATTACTCCCCAAAACTACGGAATTCACATTCTTCTCAAGTCCACATGGGACATTCTCAAAAAGATAGAACACATGTTAGGGCACAAACTAAGTCTCTACAAGTT